AAAATATAAGAACGAAAATAAGCCGAAACAGCTCTGATGAAAGAAACAAAGAAGATGTGACCATTTGTGTGTCCAAATACTGTTTTCCGTACTGTAATTTAAAACTATACATAATCCTAAACTTTAAGGTTTTTTTCGAAACGCTTTCATTTATACAGTTGTTTATCCGTTCATTACTATACTTAGGGCTGTTTTCTTTAACCTATTAGAATGTTCTTGCTTGGAAACTAACTTAATAAAAAAGAATAAGTCTAAGTAGTTATAACTCCATTACTCCATGACAAATGACACAATTTCGGTTGCTATGATCATTGTATGCTCTGCTTCCTGTGCTTTCTCTTATAACTCTCCTTTTCAGCTACCTCGTGATATGCTGCCAAAAACCCATGTGGAGCATGTGACTTCGTCCTGAGCCATTATCAATAGTTCAGGTATTGCATTAGGATGTATGGTTGCGTTTTTCAGAAGCTCTCAACTTTACGTGGATTCTTTTTCGACCATTAGTTGCACATCCCAACTCAACCTCTGTAAAGCACACTAACCCTTACATTGACAGTTAGAGTCCTAATAACATTATTTGTATTCAAATGTGACAGGTGTTATCCTCCCCTGATTCTATGATCAGTATGCCATATAGCATATCAGCCTAACTAGGTGACTTATCACTGTGAAGCCTTTATCATATGTAAAACTTTGATCTTGTCTGTGAACTGACATACCTCATGTAATATATTATTATCAGTAGTAGTATTCGTACATGTTTGCATTTACGTGTCCAGCTGTCACACTAATATTACCCAAACTAGCGTTCAGCTCAATTTTCAATATACATAAGAGCGATGCTATGAAACATCTGAACCACTGAAAATATTCAACTTCGACACCGTACTTGATTTTATCAAGTACTGTTTCCTCATGGCTGGGTTATTACAAATGATTTCGGTACATCAATTAGCTGTTCAAATACCCAATGGTTCGAAACCTGTGCAGTTCAATTGGTGGTTTGACGACACGTTCATCCACAGAGATCATCAGATTACACAGTCGATAGGATCTCTTGCGAAGTGAAAACAACATTATCACCTATATTCCAAAATTGATAGTGTTTCTCACCAGTTTAGGGTGACACACTTGGTTTCTTCGATATTTTTTCTATTCTCTTATCGAACAAATATGCCGCACTCACAGGTTATAATATTTTAGAGACAATGTCACCAAGCCACTCCCGATTTGTAGTCTACAACATTAAGTGATTGTAATAGCAATCATCAGCTTCACAAACTGTGGTTACAAAGTGATCTATAACTTCTTACGACGAAGTAACGACTTGTTCACGGTTATACTCTTGTGATTTCAGCTAATCTGCTGAACATATATAAATTGAATTCGACACATACGTGCAGTAAACTGTCAACGGCACAAGCTGATCTTCTGCATTAAGTCAATTACGATACTAACATCAATATCAATTGTTGATACACACATCGTACTACCACTGTAGTAATACTGCGCTTGCGGCTAACTAAAAGTTGCTTATCTGAGAAATTCAATAACTTATCAACACAGTGTATTCCCACACTGCCTGTTGGAACTTTAAAACGTTATAGTTTCTTGATTATCGTCGTTAATTGCTTGATATTTAACTAACCTAAAAGTCATAATTCTAAGCTCATCGACAAATGCAATATCAGAGATTTATTATTACTCGGTATTTCCAGATCGGCTTGTGCGACTTCCTTCCCATTTGTCTTACAGGTCAGTGATATTCGAGGGATTCTTGTTCGTCGTTTGGCAGCCTCCGGCGTACAGATCCCCCTGACATGTTTGGTACTAATTCAAACGGCGGTTGAATCTGTGGGAGAGTATTGTAGGGCCAGTGAAATGTTACTGAGCCCTAGCCAACTCATCAGGCAGTTGAGCCGCTGAATATCAAACGCCCTAACCAAGGACGAAGAACGCTCACCAGTTAATTTCATGCCTTGGATCGGTCCACGAGGTTGTGTTGCACTCTATTTCTTGTAATACTCTTACTAATATATTTCTGTAATAACATCGTTTGTGTTGTCCGGTCACCAAAGCAGCCACAAAACCTGAATACGACGAAAGACTAATCCTCGTTAGGTACTGACCGAAAAGTGTGACTGCGACGTTTGTTGATTGGTCTAACTCCAGTAGCTACTTCAGCCATGTACATAAGCTGGAAGCAGCACACAAAAATTTGGGAAATTCTGAACTTTTTATGATCGGACATAGTTGAGAATCACTCAGAAGATTAATGGGTTATATTTTTATTTGTATTAAAGAAAAGATGGGACATGACGCATTTTAGGAAAATTAATGCGTGTTTAAATATACTAGAGTTCCGGAAGCTGAATATGAGGGTTAGAAGCATAAGACTATAACTAATGGAGAATGAATTATAGGGGAAAGGAGATTATATGTTTTATCGTTTGGTTATGCGCATATGAATGATAATGGAGGTCTTTTATATTCATGATTAGTCTATATGTTAGGTGTTACATAATATACTTCTTTATTATTGGGTGGGAGTTCAGGAAATAATTGTTGAAGCTCTTTAGGATATAGAAACATGGTTATTAGTTTTTCGAACTTGGTGGTAGTGTAACAGTTACGGGCAGGCACTAGCAACCTGTTCCATAATGAACCATACCGTACTGTGAAAAATATACAGCGCATTGGTTCTTGTTGTCTTACAGTAAGTAATGTATATATGTTTTTTACCAATCCTGTAGGCAGGGTTGAGAGGGAGGTTAGAAATAAGAGTCCGTATGCTACTTTGTAGAGTAATATTAGATTGTTCCTTAACCAACGGCACCATAGAGGTTCTAAGGAGAGGTGCTTACATCCAGCCGTGTGGTCGAGAGAGGAGTCATATCCTAGCAGTCGACGCGTGGAGTGTCTTTAGATATCTGCCCTTATCTCGTCTGTGACATTCATGTTCGAGGAAATAAATGGGTAGCATTCAAAAAGAGACGTATATATGATTTGTACAGGTTGAGCTTAGCCTCTGTGGCGAAGATCTCGTGAAGAACTCCAGAGGTCTTTTAGATATTTGCCGAGCTCGTACTGCATGTATATAATTTCAGTCCACCCATGTCTGTAAGACAAAAGATATTATTAAATTACAGCTCCCAACGGTCTAGAGATATTTTACTAAACGATGGTATTCATGCTACCTTCTTCTTCCAACCAACTCTTTGACTCACGTCTGTAACCTTGAAGTGGCTTTACTTCCTACCGAGAAATCCTATTGCAAACAAAACTGGACAATTACACTTAGTAATAGTCTATTGATGACTCTACTAAGGTGATATATAAAAACGATTTATAAAAATTTTGACCAAAAAAGCCAGTTAGTATTCGAACACTGTATTTTCCTCACTAAATTTTTAAAATACACATAATTCTATACTTTCAGCTCTTTTAAATCACTTTCATTTGCACAATCTTGTATTCATTCAACGTCATACTGTGGCTTGTTTTCTTTAACCTGAAGAAATATACTTGTTTGACGACTGACCTTATAAGTGAGAATGAGTCTTAGTAGTTATACCTTAATCATTCCACCACAAATGATTAAATTTCACCAGTCATAAACACTGTCCGTCCTACTTCTCACCCTTCCTTTTTCTTCTCTTTTTCAGCATTCTCGAGGTATAACACCGGGAAATTTGTGGAACATATGACTTTGCTATTCGCCGTCACCAATAACTCCGGAATTTATCTGGGATCACTATCAAGAAGCACGAAATAATACATTCAAGTTGACGTCTTTGATTGACTGCTCTGGACTTTAATTCCACCCCTTACGATCACCAATTGCTTGTCTCAACGCAAGTCCCAGAAAGCACGCCAACTCTCATATTGGATACCAGGGTCATACTAACACTAATATTCTGATGTATAAAAATTTGTCTCCTGTTTATATCACCTATGTGCCCTATAACGCAACATAATTGTGTAACTTAATAAAGTCTGTAGCGTTTGTAACAAATTGGTCTTGCCGATAAACTGGTATGCCTCATGTGACATACTTTTAAATGAGGATATACTATTATTATAAACTTGACGCCGATCCAAAAGTTCATTCAGTCATGATGCTTCTCTTCGACAAGCTAGAACAAGGGTTTCAGATTTGCCAGGTCCTAATGGCTCAACGAGCAACGACGGCGACATTTCGAGGTTGATGTCATATACCTTGACTGCTCAAATGCTTAATGATATTAAACTCTGGTAAGCAGTTCACAACCACAAGGAGAAATAGGCACTTCAGGAGGATCTGACTCGCCCTCAAAGTCTCACGGTAACTGTGACAAAAATGCCTTTCGAACAAACCTTGCACTCGTAACATTGAAGCGCATTTTTGGCCAGTTTGATGGAGGAACTTTCCACATAATCCTCAGCAGTCTTTTCGACTCCAATTAAAGCGTGGCAGTATATTGTTTCTGTCCTCAATCCAAAAGGATAAGAACGCATTGGAACGTATCCAATTGTGAACCACGAAATCAATTTGGGGACTAAAATTTAATCCCTATGAAGAGCGCCTCAAATTGCCGAACCTTTACCAATCAGAGTATAGGTGTCTTAGAGGTGAAATTGTGGTGATTTACAGCATTCTTAACACTTAGCTCCAACACAAACCTCAAGGGTAACACCCAGAAACTAGAGACATAACACAGAAGAACGGACTGTTGACATAACTTCTACTCCTTTAGAGTTGTCAGATGCTGGAATTCGCTGCCGGCTGAGCTAGTCCAGGCGACTTTCCAGGAGTCCTTCAAGAGGCAACTTGATATATTCCTGAGTACTAAGGGTAATCTCTTACCATGAATTAACAATTTCTTTTTCTTCTACTATCGTTAATAAACTGAGGTTCCTGCTTAGAGTTATTGGTGATCCTCCGCTCCTAGACACTGAAGTTCGGTAATCGAAATATTCTTTTATCCCGTCCAAAACCATTTGAACCTTTGGGTCACAACGATATTGAACATTGTATTTTGGAACAATTCGAAAAGTCAACCTTATGCGGTCTAATGGACAAATTCGAGAAACCACAATCGTATCTTAGTTGGACAACCGCTCAGGTCATATCTTGGCTTTCCGGTACTTAAACAAACTTTGAATAAACTTGTTTAAGGGTTGGACGATGCTGTCGAGCCGTATCTGTCTGCATTCAGTGCGAAAAATATAAGTGGAAAGTGGCTTAGCTCCCTGACTGCTGATGTTTTGGACAAGTATGGAGTTCACAAGATTGGCCATCAGATGATCATATTGGAGAAAGTGAAGCAACTACAATACCAATTTTCATCTTTTGATAACGAAACACTTCAGTCAGTTTTATTGCGCGTATCACGTTCGTGTACATGCATTGTTACTGCAATAAATTCTCTCATGGCTATAACTAAGAGACAAGATGCTGATAGTCCTTATCCGGGGATACTTTCAGATATTCAGGGAGCTGTTTCTTACATTCTCAGTTGTATACTGAACCTAATGTCCTCGATTGGTAATGCTGCGTCCTGGCTAGAGCGGTTAGTATGTAACACAGTAAATATTTTCAGCTAGACCCCCTTTTTCTCTTCTTCCCGAAATGGTTGTATTCCGACAATTTCTTGTTGAGAATGCTATAATTACCAATAGGTTGTCTCAGCAGGCCATAAGTACTCAATGCAATGAACATTTTAAGGAGATAATCGATTATGTATGTCGGAAAACTCATTATCATAATTTAAGATTGAACCAATGAGAATCCGTGTCGAAGATGTTCTGCAAAACTGCAGTGATTCCATCTTACTAACTCCATGTGGCATCGAAATGGTACAAATAAGAAAACTTGACTCCGCTGATTTTGTAAGCTTCCTTTTGAAATTCCTTAATACTTTATATCCTGATCGCAATATGCTACATTATTTTGCTTAGGTCAGCGTGTAATAACGTTTGTTTGTGCATCTCTAGATATCAGTTGTATTATTTTCCTCTTATATACTTGAGTACTGGTTTACCTGAGTTAAGTTTCAACTATACTTAACTGATATGCTACTGATGTTCTTACAGAGATTGAAGTCCGTCTCATGCTGAAAATTTCTCTCACAGTCCGTTAGGTGAGTAGCTAGTTTATACTTGATTTATAAGGCCACCCTTTATAACCACTACTCCCCAGATTTTCTGGAATCAGGACATTTGTTAGTATGCCCTCATGATACGACGACTTTCATCATGGGTCGTTCAGTACTTCTAGGTCCTGACTATACGTTTTTGTGCCATATGAACTCTGGGACTTGTCATGCATTAGGTTTATAAAAATAAAAAAGATAACTATTTTTTTTCAGTAGAGTATTGTAGACCGTCGTAGCGGCTATACATCCGAGTTTATAACATGCAGATCTACTATTTGTACAATAATTAGTTTGTTGTTAGTAAAACATCTTAAAAAGTGGAGGTACTTAAGTCGTATTTTAGAATCATGTAGAACATATTTTCGTAGTCCGGAATAATTCAGTCAGTCACAACGTAGAACTTCGTACGTTCGTACATCAGTTGCCATATACCACATTAGCGCAGAGATACAATTGTCGATTCAAATCCCATAGTGGTAGAGGTAGTAAAAGTATAAACAGTAATGGGAAACATTAGGGTTTGAAGATGTTATTCAATGAATATAATCCAGTGAAATAAATTTGGAAAGAGAAAAAATAAGGGACATGAAGAATTCAGAAGATTAGAATTTGAGAGAACACAAAGAGTGGACGCACCTGCGCCATCGCAAACGATTTTGAGCCATATCATTTAAGGTCTCTAAGCATCGGTTGATATCATCTCGCGGTCCCCAACCAGGTAGTCTACACCTACCAACATGGCTCAGTCCACTTGTCAATGACTTCATGGATTTTTGCCATGTTGTGATCTGGCCGCCCCTAGCTTTCTTCCAACCTACTCCTACACTATAAAACATCACTTGTCGAGGCAGTCGGTGGTTGGACATATGTAACACGTCTCAGACATCTCAACTGATGAAATTTCGTTACTCCGAAACAATTGTTGAGAAGTGGAATGAAAGCCCGTAATGAAACAATCAATCTCAATATATATAAACAAATCAAATAAGTCATTCTGCTTGCCTTTCAAGCTTGAGATTATTTTAAATAGATTATTGGTGAGTTGGTAAGCGTATATCAAGTTTGATCCCGATTTTGATACTTATGGATGTTTGGAGTGAAAACCCATTATTTGACGCAACCAATCAATATTCTACTGTTCTTAGATTGACTTCGTCATAGATCCATTGCTTGCACTAGTGTGGAAACTTTTTATCCATGTTCTTCTAAGTACTGCATCGGATTTAAAATGGCAAGGACAATCAGTAAGCTTTCCGAGAGATTGCTTGAAATTGTTAAGTATCGACCATTGTGGTCACAGTATTTGTTTTAATAAATCTTTCGCTAATAACAACTATTTTTTACATTCTGCTATTATTTCCATGTGATTGCTAATGACTTATCTGTAAAGTGGTGTAAAGGTTTAGTGCATGATTACTACAGGATTAAAAGTTCTCCTTAAAATATCTTTTCATATTCTTTTTTAGGGGTTTAATTTTCGGTCCACGATAAACAATATTCACGTAATTGTTTCTGTTCAGGATGAAGTATGTAGACTAACATGTAGTCTATCATTATGATTTATTTTGCTTTACTTTGTAGTGTCGATAATGGGCTCTATTTTTCACCTATTTTGTTTGGATTAAGATTTAGCGTAATTTCAAACCTTTACAAATAAGTAAGTGGCCTCTTAGTAGTTAAAAAAACTCGTCTTCGAACCAGTTAGTCACATATTCTGACTTCAAGTTTGAATTCGAACCGAAACCATCGGCGATCGTATTATTAAACAATAAAATTTTTTTTTGGAAAAACGAAGTTAAACCCCCGAAATCTACATAATCACTGGTCTCATGTCTGATCTTGCTTTTTCATTTTAGTTACTTATTGCTTAACGTCACAGGTTTTTGTGTTTTGAAGATCACAATAAAAATTTAGGGATGAACTACCACTACTACATCCACAGTATTTTTAACGGATTGAATGAATTGACAACGCCTGTAGCTCTTCTAGGGTTACTTCCGGTCCCGAGTCCGGGTAAAGGAGGAGGGTTGGGAATGGGGTCAGCAATCTCATCTTGTAGAAATCAACCTTGCCCAAAAACACTAACCAAAATGAACAACTTAAACCATTTAAACTTTGCCCTCCGAGCTGAAGAATCTTCCCGAAGGAATTATGACGCCTAATGGTAAAAGCCGATATTTTTCGGAAGTTATGAGGCCGACACCCATTCTAACAACCAGCGCAACAATTAATAAGTACGTGGAATGCTCGGACAATGTGGGAGACCGGGAAGACCAGTCAAATAGCTACGAAAATGGGGAGATACAACTTGACGATACTCAGAATCAATGAAACCCACTGAAACAAACCTGGACAAAAAAGGATAGATTCATGTGAGATGCTGTTGTACGCTGGTCATGAAGCAGGAAATGCTTCGCACACTGAGTTGCACTGATGCTGTCTTGAGAAGCACGAAGAGCACTTATAAGATGTAAACCTAATGGATTCAGAATCATCAAAGCAACCTTGGAAACAAAAAAGAGGAAATCACAATAAAAGTTGTCCAGCGCTATGCACCCACCAATGATTGTAATGAAGATTATAAAAATCAGTCTTATGCCAGGCTTCAGTCGATCTTAGAGTAGTGCCCGGGAAAGTACCTGACTATCCCGATGGGAGACCTAAACTCCAAATTCGGAATGGACAACACCGGGTATCAATATACCATGGGACGAAATGAGGTGACTGGAAAAAAGAAACGAGAATGGTGACAGACTTGCGAATTTATGCGCATTCAACAAAATGGTTAAAGATGGCGCAATATTCCCACACAAATACATACACAAACTTACATGGGTCTCACCGGACCACAATATAGAGAATCACATCAATCATTTTTGCATCACTAAAAAACTCAGTAGATCAATGGAAGACGTGCGGAAAAAAAGAGGAGCTGACATAGCTTCAGATCACCACTTGGTTGTGGCCAAGATGAAACTTAAGTTAAAGAAGCACTAGACAACTGGAGAAACAGCATTACAAAGGTTCAATACATCCTTCCTTTGAGATACTGACAAACCCAACGAATTTAAGGTTGCTCTCAACAATAGGTTCCAAGACTTACAAGATCTACCCAAATAAAAAAATACTATGGAGGACATTTGGAAGGCGATTGAAGACGCACTAACTTCAACATGTCAGGAGGTTCTGGGTTATAAGAAGCATCATCATAAGGAATGGATCTCTATCGCAACCCTGGTCAAGATTCTAGAAAGGAAGAACAAAAAGACAGCAATTAACAACACCCGAATAAGAGCAGAGAAAGTCCAAGCACAGGCTGAATACACAGAAGCAAACAAGCATGTGTAGAAAAACATTAGAGCTGACAAGCAGAAATACGTACAAGAGCTAGCAAAGACAACGGAAAAAGCTGCAAGAGAAGGGAATATAAAGCAGCTATATGACACAACGAAGAAACTAGCAGGGAAATATAATAAACAAGAGAGATTAGTCAAAGACAAAGGAGGTAAGCCAATCACTAAGATCCAAGAACAGAAGGACAGGTGTGTATCACACTTTGAAGAACTCTTGAATAGACCAGCCCCACTGAACCCACCGGAAATTAAGTAGTACACACAGACACTCATAACTGCCACTCCACCAACGATCAAAGAAATCAGGAGTGGGTAAGCAGCAGGACATGACAGTATAACAATCGAAGCAATGAAGTCAGACATAGAAGTAACTGCAAACATGCTTCATGTTATATTCAGAAAGATTTGGGTGGAAGAACAAGTGCCGACAGACTGGAAAGAAGAAAACCTTATCAAGATGCCAACGAAATAAGATATGAGCAAATGTGAAAACTACAAAGGCATCACACTCTGACAGAGGTGGAAACTCACGTACCTTGTCGGCTGTCACAATTTCTCCTATTACAACCCAGCTATTCCTATTGCTCAGTATTCTTGGGTACCAATTCACTTGAGAAGTCCCCAAATCAGAACACGATCGAACAGGAAAAAAGTTATATTTCAAATAACAAGGGTAGGTGAAAGTAAGAAGCCCAATAAGAAAAACGTTATTATATATTTGTAGTTTTTACGTGAAAAGATTCTAGAGTCTTCAAGTATCGACTAGCGCTGACTGAATAAGAAATAAACAATCAGTGTGAACCAACACAATCGTGCACGAAACATGCTTTAATCCAATCTATGACCCACTAACATCAGCATAATCAATTAACAAGGAGGATCTGATGTAGACATAAAGGCGAGGGTTAGCAAAGCAAGGGAAGCATTCTTACAGTTGAAGAACATATGAAACTCAAAACAACTGTCGACCAATACCAAAGTCAGGATTTTCAATACGAACGTCAAGATAGTTCTATTGTACGAAGAACTACTACAACTATCATCAGAAAGGTACAAGTATTTCTAAACAATTGTCTACGCAAGATACTCTATGTCCGTTGGCCGGATATAATCAGTAACGACCGGCTGTGGGAGAGAACAAACCAGCTTCCAATTGAAGACGGAATTAGGAAAATACGTTGGAAGTGAATAGGACATACATTACGGAAAACATCAAACTGCATCACCGAGCCAAGCCCTAACATGGAATCCTGAAGGGGAATGTAAAAAAGGATGACCTAAAAACACATTGCACTGAGAATTGGAAGCAGACATGGATAAGATGAATGGCAACTGGAAACAACGTGAAAGGATTGCTCAGGACAGAGTTGGATGGGGAGTTCTGGTTAGCGACCTATGTTTTTCCACGAAGTGTGACAGGAGTATGTAAGAATGCATTGACAGAGCTTTTGGGGATAGAAGATACTACGTTAAGGAAATATTTGTGCTGCAGTTGATCGAAATAGCATTTTTATTTATTTACTACGTTTTAAATTATGTTTAGACCTCTGGAGGCCATTTATGAATGCTACTTTTTATTTTTCTTGTTTCAGTCCCCAGCATTTAGTACCGGAAAAGTTACCAAAGGAGATGAAGTAATCGAAGTAAATGAACAAATAGTTGTAAGTATGTAATATATATGTCCCTTTACGGTATGGTATATTAAAAATTGTCTGTATCCGCTCTACTCACTATAATACACTGAGTTACAAACATTCAGAAACTATTTAAGAAGATTACTACTCAGTTGCTAACATCTCACTTCCTTATCGACATTTCGTGTTGACCACCTCAAGCAACAATGCAAGCATGTTCGAGATGCGGTTGTCCCCCTCAAAATGCAAAATTTTGCTTCAGGATTGGGTTGCATCGGCACTTGAACTAATAATAGGGAGTGAAGTAGTTGAGCGTGTTGACCACTTCACTTATCTTGGGAGTCTCATCAGCCTTTGTGTTCTGGTGTATGACGGAATCTCAGCATGGATACAGAAGGCTCGACTAGCTTTTACCAAATTGCGTCACTTGTGGTGTAGACGAGATGTCCGTCTACCAACCAAAGGACAGGTTTACTGCTCAGCAGTTCGTTCCATTCTACTTTTTGGGTGTGAAACATGGCCGGTAAGAGTAGAGGATATTCATAGGTTACTAGTATTCGATCATAGGTCTCTTCGAAACATTGCTAGTATATCCTGGGACCACCGAGTAAGTAATGCAGTTGTTAGGAAACAGGTACTAGGTAAGGATGGCAAATCAATTGATGAAGTAGTGAAAATTCATCAGTTGAGATGTCTGAGACGTGTTACATATGTCCAACCACCGACTGCCTCGACAAGTGATGTTTTATAGTGTAGGAGTAGGTTGGAAGAAAGCTAGGGGCGGCCAGATCACAACATGGCAAAAATCCATGAAGTCATTGACAAGTGGACTGAGCCATGTTGGTAGGTGTAGACTACCTGGTTGGGGACCGCGAGATGATATCAACCGATGCTTAGAGACCTTAAATGATATGGCTCAAAATCGTTTGCGATGGCGCAGGTGCGTCCACTCTTTGTGTTCTCTCAAATTCTAATCTTCTGAATTCTTCATGTCCCTTATTTTTTCTCTTTCCAAATTTATTTCACTGGATTATATTCATTGAATAACATCTTCAAACCCTAATGTTTCCCATTACTGTTTATACTTTTACTACCTCTACCACTATGGGATTTGAATCGACAATTGTATCTCTGCGCTAATGTGGTATATGGCAACTGATGTACGAACGTACGAAGTTCTACGTTGTTGGTGATTGATTGACTGATATTTCATGTGACTTAATTTCCGTTTTCTTGTGACTTCAGCTTAAACTAAAAGTCCGTCCTTAAACTTTCATAGGACTTTTATAATAATCGAACGTTTACTGTTTATCTCTGTTTTTTATCAGATTGGTTGGCTTCACTATCGCGTCGCTGACTTAATGCGACATTCTTCACAGCACATCAGTTTGCGATTGCGAAAGCGACCCTCTCATTCCAACGATTTTATTGGCTTTCCAGGAGCTGGGCGGCGTCATCGCCTAATAGTCAACCAGATACCACCTGCTGGGAGCTTATCCCAGACGCGAGGTGCGTATATATTTACCAGAAATCCAAAACGTCGTCTGCCTCTTACAGGCCCACTTTCTACAGAACCTTTGTCTGTTACTCAAGAAACCACCTCCGATCAAACATCTGTTTCCTCACCTACATCAACATCTCCACCTGAATCTCAATCCATAGTTAGTGTGTCTGGGTTGCTTTCCTCTTCTCCGACGTCTTCTTTATCTGTGCATCAGGGTACATCAATAAAAATAAATGATGATCCTTGCAATCTAGAAAATCGTGCTCATATATCTTTTAGACCGAATTCCAGCAATGAATCCATAATTTACAATAACTCGAGGCTTATTGCTAGTACACCAAATACTCCATTAATGACTTTACGATCAATGGACTCGGTGTGTTCTCATTCTTCGCTATCGTTTCCACCCCACCTTCCACCTGCACATCCCGGTACTACAACGTTTGACAACGGAATAAACGATACTAGTGCGGTCTCATCTGATACAACATACTCCAAGTAAGTGACTATTGAGAAGACGCATAAAGAAAATTGAGTAATTAATCTCAATATTTTTGGTTATTCCCAACCAAATCCTGTTGATCAACTCAGTAGTAGTATGTAAGGTATGTGAACTGGAATCACGGTGAACTTGATGTTGAATTGCTATAGACAACTGGAAGAAAGTCGTGGGATTAGGTTCTATATTTAACACTCACCAGCAAAGGTATCCTCAACTGAGAAGCATGTTCTTTCAGAAATTCAGATATTAACTACTCGGAAAATTTACTAATAGGTTATTCATATCTCAATAAAGCTTGTATAATTCTATGAAGCACACACCGGTCACCAAAGAGTAACCAGTACTACCTCTTTTCCATCTTACTGACCCAATTGCATCTATAAAATTTAGAACATAGAATCTACTGGCCGTTTCCAAACACATAACAATTGAATTTATTTGCAATTTATTAATATTACTTCAAAAGCTCAAAAGTAGGTATTACCAATCCGGCTTCCATCTCTCACATTCTTTGCAGACATTTACTAATTTATAAGGTGTCGTAAAAGAGTAGTAGTATTCTACAAACTACTGTACCATTGAGTAGATTAAATGAAAAGTCGATACAGATATTTCTTATTTAGTAATACCCAAATTTCGCTCGTGACAGCGACCCTAGTTACTCGTTTTCTCATTATAAGCTAGATGATTAATAGATGTCACACTATGAATAATGTATTTTTAACTTATACCGCAACCCTAGATCAGTAAGAGTATAACTACTGAAAGTAATACTCTCTTGTTTTCGAATTGCCATACATCCGTTTGATTCATTGTCAATCGTCATTTACCTCATGTGCGAATTCACTTACTTTAAAAAAGAGGTTCATATATCGGGATTTAACGTCGAATTTTTCGTTTCTCTTTTTAGCATGTTTCTATAGTATGCCTACTTTCCTAAGATATACTTTTTGTTGCTTTCGTAGTTGAACGCTTTGTAAATGCGTTCGATCACTGAATTTTCATTAAGTTCTACATTCTTGTGACTATTACGAGCAGATTCACATTTCTAGTCAATGCACCTCTGGATGCAGCATTAACGATTAACTACGATTTATCAGACTCACTTTCATGATGACTACATATCTTGTGTGGATAACCTTTCGTATGATTTCATTTTCAGTTCATTTTTTATTGGACTTTTGGTTGTTTAGATGATGAAAGTGTTTAGGTACAACTAGAACAAAGCATTCAGTCAGTAACAACGTAGAACTTCGTACGTATGCACATCAGTTCGAGTTGCCACACCACATTAGCACAGAGATGCAGTTGTCGATTTAAATCCCGCAGTGGTAAAGGCGGTAAGAGTATAAGCAGTAATCGGAAAGATTAGGGTTTGAAGATGTTATTTAAAGAGTATAATCCAGTGAAATAAGGGTTAGGGAAAAACAGATTTATTAATAAGTTCCATACAACGTTAATTTGAAATTTCTCCCAAGTATAATTTGGTTTTTGACATCAAGTGCCGTTCGTTCTGAAACTCAGAAACATTAATTATTTTTGGGAAGTTCGTAAGGTAAAAAGATTGTAGTTTACTACCCTATTGTTTGAAACTATGTTTTGTAATTTATTTAACTCGGTTGGTATTTTTTGATGATATGAAGAACATGATAATAACCTCCTAAGGAATATAACTAGTAGTGAGAATTATGTACTGTTGTAGTATGGATGTAAAAAGATTTATTTTCAGACAACTTTTGTACTTCATTTAGTCTTAGATTATTCTAATAATCTGAGATACTCTGAACTAACTTTTTAGTACTATTATTTTCATAATAACGAACTAAATCATATTTTTCCTTGCATTATTCGTAGAAAATACAAGTCTGTCAATACTTCTCATCATATTCGCTCAACTTCTTGTTCTTCAAACAAATCTGTTTTTCCTCGTTTTTCCCTAACACATCGACGCACAGCTTCTGGTGACCCAAAACTGATGAATAGTATATCTAGTGGCGATGGGGAAGGTTAGTGAGTAGTGTGGTGATGTCATAGTGTTTTGTATTGGAATAAATATTTTTAATTTTGCTAAAAGTGACACGAGTACGTGTTTTAATCGTAATATCTGTTTTATCAGGTTTCCACATTCATTGTCGTGAGCTATAAAATTTTAAATTATTCGTTTTCAGTATTTTACTCACTGCTTAGTGTCAAAAGTCTTGTTGTTTCAGTAGTTTAAAAGATCTCTATACCATTATTACTAAACGACTGTAGATCCACATACACATTTTACTTTCTAAATTGAGCATTTTACTTGCAACAAAGTCAAGATTTCACTTGAATGAATATCTCAACTAGTAATCTTGTAAGCTTGGTTTTTCCCTACTAATTAGACATTCAAAACATACTAGACTTATTCTTTTTAATTTGTATGCCTAAGTAAAGCTCCAAGAACGAACAATAGTTGATAATCTCTTCCTGAGTAATTTGTTCTAGTCCAAAGTTATTCAAAAATATAGTCTTAGTAGATAGGGTAGATAGATATTAATTCTTTTGAACCATTCGAGTGAAAATATGACAATGTCTACCACTAAACTTTGTGCAAAGTAAGTAAAATTTCAGTTACTGGAGTACATGATGCGCATGCTGATTTATCATCATTGGGTTGAGAAATAGTAACTACGAAAAATGCTAAGTTTGGTCAAAACATAATGTGCTAGAAATCTACAAAATCAGTGAGTGATAGTCAGTTTTGTAAATCTGATTAATATGCCTGCGATGGAGACTGATTAGTATGACTAGAAAATCGGTCCAGTCTTGCAGATCTGGCAACTATTTCTCTTATTTAAAATCATAATAACCTTGTTATTCCATATCTTTTCTCCCTCTCGTTCATTACTTTGCTTTTATCTTCTAGTTTGTTTCATACCTTCAATTTTGTTATTTTGTATTACATAACTGGAGGCAATCAGAAAATCCTACGTGAAAGTTTTGTCCAGCCCGATTATTCTTAGCAAGTATAAACTTTAAGTCGGAGGAAAGACTATCTAAACTGGTGATCTCTAACATCAGAACGGTGGACGCAAATAGAGCATGCCTTCACCAGCCATTATTCAAGAGGCTTAATAAATGGCTGCTTCTCCTGCTGGAGTACATGGGTGAACTCCAAACACTCGATGCCGAAACTCTTCATTACTAATATGGTGTTCCCACTAAATGTCAGCAATTCTTCGGAGACAACGATGATCAAGCACAGAGTCGTCTAACACCCTCAACTCGGAGAGGCCGGGTTTCATAAGTATAGAGCAAAACTGCTCTCACCATTTACAGCCAGACTAACATCACGAAGGCGCCAAATATGGCCCAGATTGGCATAAACCGCTTTGGCTTTCACTGTACGTGAATTGGTCTCATCACTCACACCACCACCAACACTTACTCAGCTACCCAGATACACGAACTTCACTACTTCTGTCTGCTCACTACCCAGGATGAATGCCAGTTTTGTAGAAGTACTTTGTACTTCGGAGGTGCAAAGCACATACCATACCTACGGATACTAATTGCCAACTGATTAAGTGCGGATTGCATGACTTGGGCATTATCGCACAGTAAGACAATATCATCCACATACTCAAGGTCGATAAATCTTTCTCCAACCAACAAATCCACACCAACATCCATCAGAGCTGTTTCCAGAACGTCATCGATGATAAAGTTGAAGAGGAATCGTGAAATTGGGCAACCCTGCTTAGTCCCAGTGCTTGAATGGAACGGTGGAGAGAGGTGGTTGTATGCCCTCACTCTGCCTGAGGTGTTTGTATATAGGGCTTTTAAGATGTTGGTAAACTTCTCAGGCACACCCTTCTTCAATAGACAGTCCTAAAGAACAGTCCTGTCCAATAAATCGAAGGCAGCCCTAATGTCAAGAAACACTACGATTATTGACCTCTAATACGTGTGACGGTGTTCTAACGTTTTGGCGGAGGGTGAAGATATGATCAATACATCCTCGACGAGAGCGGAAATCAGCCTGCTCCTCGCGAGTCCTGAACAATCTATGAAGCATAACGGAAGCCAATAGTTTGGACGCAATCGTAAGTAGACTTATCCCCCGAAAGTTGTTACAGAACCAACACGAAGAATTTCCGTTTATGGTCAAACTCGCGGTCACCCAGAGTAGACCGACGTACTTCAATGAGTTGTAGGAAGCCTGTAGAAACCCGATGCTTAAAAGCGGAACATTTCGCGAAGCCTCAAGCGACTTTATTCGCCATTTTTACGGTGTCATTCAGATGCAGCCGGTGCTCTTCTATACTTTTTGATGGGCTTGTAGGTAGCCTTGAACCTAGCTCGGTTCGATATTTAGTTGCAACAGAAGCTGCAACCAATTTGCTGATATCGATCCGTTTGGGGAATTTATTAAAAAATTTTCATGAAGAACGAGAAAGTTGGTGGTCAAAATGTGCCAGATTTGAAAACAGCAGCTTCTAGCAAATGTAGAGAGCTATTTCAACTCATCCGAACCACTGGCAGCAAGAAGTCTAGTGTGAGTTAATGAAATGCCAGTTAACAACATCCGACGACGACTTGCACAGTGGGCAGTTTTCCGAGAAACAGTCAAGCTAGTCTGTTGCCCCATCATTGTCAATCCCACTATCTTGTACTCCATGGCGGGCTACGACCGATACAACTAGAAGAAAATGCTCAAGAAACTCCAACTCTTGAAACACCATAGACCACAAGCCACTAATCCCAGACGATTCATTTTCATGACGTAGGTGGTCCGAGATTTGATGCTGATACACAACGTGCTACGCGCTAAACCCTCAACTGAACACTTAAGCGAGGAAACAAAAGTGGGGGAGAAAGTCTATTGGGTTACCAAATGACACGTATAAATACTCATTCGTATATATTACATCTCTACGCCTTAACAAATCAATCCATCTCTTAGCCAAAGGTGTGCATTTATCCGTTGGGACTTGTCTAATTGTCAATAAGTGGTCTCATTTGGCTACTTTTGATTAACTCTTCAGATTACGGGGCGAACCACTGGTAGGAAAATTGATTGGGTTGTTTTGAAAGGTCTGACAACTAGAGAGTGTTCTAACATGCTAAAATGAAGTGACCATCGCCTCCATCTTTAGAAATGTCCTATGTCATCTATGCAACAATTATCGGGGAATACGTTTACTGCCGTTTGCGTCCAAGCGATTGGCTTCCATCATGCTTTGCAGATTGTTCGAAACATTCGATCGATTGACTTATGAAAAGCAGGACACTTTTTGATCAGATTGTGGATGTATTGAGTTTGTAGGCTTTTACAGTGTAATCAAAAATAATAAATTGCTTTTCAACTGGGAGCTTGGTATTCACCTCTATACTGTCAATTCAGAAAAACGTCTTGTCCATAATTTTCTAAAATTCAAACTCAAATTAATAGTGATGATGTTTCTTTTATACATATTTTTTAAAATCTTCCCAGATACGTTATTTCAGAAAAAACCGAGTCCTTCGTCGCTTCGTCACTGTAGTAGTTCATCTCCTAAGATTCATGCTCTGGATAAACGCTATAGAAACGTAAGTTTTACAAGTGAATTCCTTGACAAGACTCACTATACGTACTGTACAAAAATAGATTAGAGCTATAAGATATTAGGCTAAAGGAATATGGGATTGTCCCATTTATTATAGGCTTTCTGTTAACTCATTAATTACTATTATACGACCTACTATCTCTAATTTCCTGCCGGTCTGTTAATTACAACTTGCTTTTGCATTGCCATTCATGGCTCGTTCCTGTATAGTTGTTATTTTTTATTTTGTGATGTGACTGCGACCTGGTAGGGCTGTAATAAAAGCTACATCTGTTTGAAATATAAATACAGTAGAAGCTGATTGCTAAATTCTTCAAGCTCAAGGCCAGATGTAAAGAGAAGTCTGCGAACGGCGGGCCAATAAGAACTCAGTTGTTTCAGGTCAAAGTCAGGTGATGGTAGGGCGTGTAATTGGCCAAGTCAGAGAAGCTAAGGTATAGATGTAGTAGACGCATAAAATTCTGTTTAGTGACTTTAGCACGTGGTATTGGTCAGTGTTTCAAGATACAATCATAACATTACTTACTTACATACTCCTGTTACACCTCACAAAGGAGCGTCGGCCGCTCACCAGCATTCTCCATCCAACTCTGTCCTGGGCAGTCTTTTCCAATTGCTATTCATCATATTTATGTCTGCTTCCGATTCTCGGCACAGTGTGCTCTTTGACCTTCCTCTTTTCCTCTTCCCTTCAGGATTCTAAGTTAGGGCTTGCCTTGTGATACAGTTTGATGATTTGCGTAATGTATGTCCTATCTATTTCCATCGTCTTTCCCTAATTTCTTCTTCAGCTGGAAGCTGGTTTGTTCTCTCCCAGAGAAGGCTTTTGCCGATGGTATCAGGCCAATAGATGTTGAGTATCTTGCGTAGACAACAATTCATAAATACTTGTACCTTCTTGACGGTGGTTGTTGTAGTTCTCCAAGTTTCAGCTCCATACAGTAGAACTGCCTTGACGTTCGTATTGAAGATTCTTACTTTGATATTGGTTGAAAGTTGTTTTGAGTTCCATATGTTCTTCAATTGTAGGAATGCCACCCTTGCTTTGCCGATCCTCGCCTTTACGTCTGCATCGGATCCTCCTTGTTCATCGATGATGCTTCCCAGGTATGTGAAGGACTCCACATCTTCCAGAGTTTCGCCATCAAGTGTGATTGGATTGCTGTTCTCCGCTTTAAATTTGAGGACCTTAGTTTTCCCTTGTGTATGCTAAGGCCTACTGATGCAGAGACTGCTGCTACACTGGCTGTCTTCATCTGCATCTGTTCGTGTGTACGTGATAGGAGGTCTAGGTCATCTGCGAAGTCGAAATCGTCTAATTGATTCTGAGCTGTCCATTGTATTCCGTGTTTTCCTTCAGATTTTGAGGTCTTCATAATCCAGTCGACCACCAGAAGAAAGAGGAAGGGAGAGAATAGACAGCCTTGTCTGACTCCAGTCCTTACTTGAAATGCGTCTATCAGCTGTCCTCCATGCACTACTTTGCACTGTAGTCCGGATAATGTTGACAATCTTCTCAGGAACTCCGTAGTGTCGAAGAAGTTTCCATAACGTCCTCCTATCTACGCTGTCAAATGCTTTTTCATAATCAATGAAGTTGATGTACAGTGACGAGTTCCACTCAACTGGTTGTTCGACGATGATCCGTAGTGTCGTGATTTGGTCTGTACACAACCGATCTTTACGGAATCCAGCTTGTTGATCTCGAAGTTGGGTTCCTCGAAGTACTCTACCCATCTGTTCCGCTGTTGTTGAATTTCAGTGATTGGCCTGCCTTCTTTGTCTTTGACCGGTCTCTCTGGCTTACTATATTTCCCTTCTAGTTTCTTCGTCGTATCGTAAAGCTGTTTCATATTTCCTTCTCTTGCAGCTTTTTCCGCTGTCGTTGCTAGTTTTTCCACGTATTTCTTCTTGTCGGCTCTAATGCTATTCTTCACTTGCTTGTTTGCTTCTATGTACTCAGCTTGTGCTTGAACTTTCTCTGTTCGTGTTCGGCTGTTGTTAATTGCTGTCTTCTTGTTCTTTCTTTCTTTGATCCTGTCCAATGTTTGTATAGAGATCCATTCTTTATGATGATGCTTCTTTAGGCCCAGATCCTCTTGACACGTTGAAGTTAGTGCTTCTTTGATACCTTTCCAGTTGTCCTCCATAGTAGATTCTTCTTCTTTCAGTAGATCCTGTAAGGCTTGGAACCTGTTTTTGAGAGCCTGTAGCTCTTCTAGAGTTACTGCCGCTCCCAAGTCCGGGTAAAGGAGGAGGGTTGAGCATGTGGTTAGCGACCCCATCCCGTAGAAAACTAACTCGCTAAAAAACATTAACCAGAAAAATAATTCAAATCATAACATTACTATATCATTATGTACCCTCAAGTATCCCACTCAACATCATATTGTGCGTGTTTTATTTTTACAGCTTCATCGTTCTAGTCTTGATGATTTCATGCTTTTTTTAAAACATGGATTCGGATCAAGAAAACCAAGTAAGTTCTACTTATCCTTCTTTTGCTAATATCCCAATCCTGTTCTGCTTCGAAATTAATAAATCCCAGCATGTGTAGTAAACTAATACGTAAACTGCTTACACGGATATTTTAACATTGTTTCTTTTTAAAGTTATAATTGTCATAATCGTTCTTCAGCGGGTAGCTTACTAATTAAAATAGCCGGTTATCAACAAAGTTACTTAAAAAACGAATGCGAGCCACTCACTTTGATTCAAGCAATTTTTAAAAACATTAAATATGTTCTGTCTTGTCTAATATCAGAAGTACCGTACTATTCTTTAAAAATTTTATATGGATTAGTCGGTTTATTTACTCTATTCAACCTGGTCGTAGATTGAAAAGAGGGTTTTGGTATTTAACTACAAGCTCATTGCCTTGTATCAGTACCCAGGTGATCGAAAATTTCGAATTCTACTTATTTACGGCATGGTGATGTACAGATAGCTGAGTTTGATTGAAATCGTGGACGGATCAATGTTAGACCATCATTGGTCGGTTCATGATTTCAATGAAACTCCACTAATTTAATTGAGCTTATTTATTGAAACCTTACCATTGACAAGTTGTTCCGTGGTGCATTTAAGGTAATATTTGTCCTATACTTAACCGAAGTCGTTGGTGGATAAAGAGAAATTATTTTTTACGAATCCAACTGCACGGTAAACATGCATAACACTTTTGGATATTTCTACGCAAAAGCAGTACATTGACTTTTTTTATTTCCATTGTTTTCACTGCTTTCTATGGATTTTTAATTTCATGTTTTACATATAGCTCGTCGTATATCCTGCAAGGATCTTGGACAGGGAGATTGTCAAGGTTGGCTTTGGTTGAAGAAAACCAACCCACTTACCAGTAAATATGTGAAGCGATGGTGTGTTTACAAAAACTCAACGTTCTATTATTACAGAAATCCTGAAGTAATGTTCTAACTTGTTTTGTAAAAATAGGAAAATATTTGTTTCCCTTATTTTAGGATGATTCAGCTGAAGGTTTAATTCTGTTGCATGGTTTCACAATCACTCCTGCAGTCTCAGCGAAATCGGGAAAATTGTAAGTCGTTTCAATTGCACCTGTTAGAATTATAGGATGTGCTCAATATAGACCCCATTAACTACAAAATTTGTAGGAGACTACTACACGGTATTCTCGCCTTAAGATTCGCTAGTCGATTACTACAGTATATCGTCCTTGCTAGTTTCTAACACAAATCCATGGGCTTGCTGAACTTCCAGCTTAAAAAGCCCTTCATAGTTAAGTTACGTACGAAGAATATCATGGTTTACCATAGTAATTATAAGTTGAAGAGACATTTAAGTAAAACATTCGTTACACGATGCAACAACCCTTAAAAATCTTCGTTCCACCTTTTCGAAGCTGTAGATTGATGATTCAAAATCATCAGTGCAACGTAATATTGCCCTTTTAAAGTTCATTTCACAGTCATGGTGTGCATTCGAGACATTTCTCTATATGTCGGTTGGCTTGTATGTATGATCAATGCATTCTGGATTACAGATATACTCCAGTAAGCGAAAATTCAGGTACGGTAAACTAATTTTTTATTTTATGCAAAATCAGACAGTAGCTTTGTATAACACGAAAACCATACATTGAGTACATCACTTGCACATCTTTTTTCAGTTGTCCCTTACATCTTCATCCTAGTAACATTCTACTTCCAATTCCTGCTACATAATCCTTATGTCCGTCTAAATAGGTAGTGCACACGACAATACTACATAATAGTTTGAAGGTTAGAAATTGATATACATGTATCGGAGATTCCTTTTTATTTAAACACTGATTTAACCATAACTATCTACTTACTAATTGCTATTATTATTAACATACAAACCGTAGTTATATGATTTACCTAACTAGTACTATCATGGTGTTCCGATCCTGACCATTGCTGCTACCTTGACGTGGTGGTCGGGCTTGCCTATCGTGATAACCCAATAGAGCTATACCAGTTGGAACAGTCGTTCCTCAAGGTCGGTTGTAGAACAGTAAGACTAAAAGCAGCAAACCCAAGGTCCGAGGGTGAAGACGTACTGCTGACTGTACAGAGGTGTGACGGCAGTAAGGTGCTTCCCTCAGATAACCACCATAACAGCGATGCTACCTTCCCACAAGGAGGGGTGGGGTTAGAAAAGGTCGACCCTAATAAATGCACACCTCGCCTTGTCCTAGGGATACCGTCTCCAGCAGCAAGGTCCCAACAATTACGGAGCTAACACAGAAAGGTGTGACCGACCTCAAGCACCATGGTCACGCTTTCAGGTCACTAAGATCACCCTAACCTGATTTACTTTTCAGGTACCTCCAGAAGAACCATTCCACGGTGTGAGCAACCGGGAAGTGATGACTGCCATCATACCTCTAACAGCACTCAAGAACACTGGTGTTCTAATTTCATAGCTCTGTTAACCTAGATTTGCGGAAATAACAGCTGTTTCAAACGAATAACTTGGAATAGTTCATTTGAATAGCTCTCAGTAATGTCATGTGGTTTTTCATATTTCATTCATGTTAGTGCATTCTCAATTTTCAATGATTGGGTTCGCTTTGTGTTCGCTTCTGATTCTGAAATCGACCGATCAAAATGGATGAATAAGTTAGGCCTAGCTTCAATCGGTTTGTCATCTACCATACCAAATTCTCGTATTGGAGGTTTCAATCCTGGTTATGTGGTTTTATGTGACTCGAAGAATAACGAAGTAAAGGCTGAAATTCCGCATCTACATTCATGCACCGTCTTATCAGATTCACCCACTAAAAAGTTCCAAGGCGACAACACATCTGGACTTCGATCTCAGACTTTATCAACTTCCAAAACTACAGATTTCGCAGAAAACTCCTTAACAGTGGTGACTTCCCAGGTCAGTCATATCCTGTTAACCACTCAGTTGTTTATAAGTCCTATGTCTGTTTCAGTGCCGAAATTTAATTCATCCTGAACCAATTGATCTTTGGTTGTTTAGTGTCTAGTTTAGTATCACGATTTTCCCATTTTTCAGCCTGTGTCAACCCCTCCAAGGCATGCAGCACTACATTCAGTTTCATCACCATCATTTTCTACGTTTGATTTGCGTTCGAATTCTTTACCATCTGAACCCCGTGCTGTCCGCTCTATAATTTTTCCTCGGAATAGTGCTCTATCACCCTCAGCTGGACATTCATCATCTCCTGCTCACACTAGAATTAGGCATCGTCAACCACTTGAAATCCCTTCAGTAGCATTCAGATGCTATAGTGAGAGTGAAGATGAAATAGACGAGGATGTTGAAGCCGAATGTGATGTGGATGAAAACTGTATCTCTGAGGGAGGCGCACAACTAAATCTTCGAAACCGACCAGGATCTGCATCCCCATCACATGAACGAAGATATGTTATTTTAAACAGTACAGAAGAAAATGAATGTTTACAAGAATATAAAAAGCTGATTTCATGTAAAAGTGAACTACATGTGTCCGATGTACATGCTTCAATGCCTTTATCACGTCCATTAAGAGCTGCGCATATCATTACGAAAAATCTCCATTGTTCTGATAAACTTTCAGGTGTCGAAAAGATTGTTGGCGTAAGAAACAACGAATCAGTCCCCGAATGCAGCAGTAGGCGTTTTAATAACTGACACTGAAAAGCTCATTTTTAAGTTACCATAATCATCTTTGACCATTCGCTGTTGAATTTAATTAATTTTGTCACTTATTTTTTGAGATTACTTGTATTTCATTCTGACTTTATCTTTTGTGAAATATCTCATGTTATGAAGTTATCCCCATTGTTTTTAATCCGAGAAAGTCCTTTTAATAGGATTGGATGCAATAAGTCAGTTACAACGTAGGACCAGGCATATATATGCATCGATACAAGTTGCCACACCTCATTAGCACAGCAAGACGAACACTGGTGTAATATATAAAGAAAAGATTTTATGTAAGGATATAGTACAGAAAGATATGAAATAATTTTAATCTCATAGTTTAAGGGAAGAAAGAAAGTGTATACACCTACGCCATTGTGACCATTTCTGAGCCATGTCACCCACACTCTCCAAACATTGGTTAAGATAGTCGCGCGGACCCTAATCAAGTAGTCTTCATCTATCAACATGGCTAAGATTAGAAGTTAGTGACTTCAAGCACTGATGCCACGTTTTGGCTTGGACTCCCCTGGTTTTCTTCCAACGATCCCCGACAGTTGTCAGCATTCAACGCTGTGGTAATCTGTGTTCAGGTATATTTAACATTTGGTTCATCCATCTCAGTCGACGAAGATTCACAACTTCAACAACCGATTTAACATCATTCCCTAATACCCTGTGTCTAACCTCGCTATTACTTACCCGATGATCCCAGTAAATGCGAGCAATATTTATAAATCATATGTGGTCAAATACTAGTAGCTTACGAGTATCTTCTACTCTTAATGGCCACGTTTCGCAGCCGTTGATACTTTGACGTGGTGGTCGGGCTTGCCTATCGTGATAAACCAATAGAGCTATATCAGTTGGAACAGTCGTTCCTCAAGGTCGGTTGTAGAACAGTAAGACTAAAAGCAGCAAACCCAAGGTCCGAGGGTGAAGTCGTACTGCTGACTGTACAGAGGTGTGACGGCAGTAAGGTGCTTCCCTCAGATAACCAGCATGACAGCGATGCTGCCTTCCCACAAGGAGGGGTGGGGTTAGGAAAGGTCGACCCTAATAAATGCACACCTCGCCTTGTCCGAGGGATATCCATCTCCGGCGTTAAGGTTTCAACAACTGCGTAGCTAACACGAAAATTACTTACAAGGGTCGTGTGCGACCGACCTAAAGCAGCTGTCCTTTGGGTACTGTGGTCACGCTTTCAGATTCACTAAGATCACTCCTAACCTAATTTACTTTTCAGGTACCTCCAGAAGAACCCTTCCACGGTGTGAGCAACCGGGAGGTGATAACTGCCCTCATATCTCTATCAGCAATCTAGACACTGTATTTATAATCAACCTCTTTCCTCAGTTCCCGTTATTCCTTTTACATCGACCTTCAACACTAAACTTCCTTTTTTGGCTTCCTCCTCAAGTGTCACCATGGCGAGCGATTCTAGTGCGCAAAACACTGTCCCAGGTCTACTGAAACCTCGCTACACATTAGAGCCTTAAACGTACACACCCTTAGCGAAATCGGCAGTAGATCTCGTTGGCTGAAACTCAAGTATCTCGTACCATTGATGTATGCTGTACCTCCGAAACGCGCATACAGGATCCTAATGTGGTCATTCACTTGACCTCACCTCGCCAAAACGGACAGCCGACGAGATACACCCTCTGTTTATCTGGCGACCCGATGGCCAGTTCTCGTGGACTGACAGGTGTAGGCATAGCATTGAGTACGAGGACGGAACAAGCACTGTTAGAGTGGATCCCTGTAACAGTCGTTTATGTGCTGTTCGGCTAATAATTGGATGCACAACATACCTGGATTTTACTGAGCTCATCATTTTTAAAAATAAATTTGGCATTTGGTTTATTATAACAGTTACCTTTAAGTGAAACGTGAGCATGAAATCTAACAAAGCACATATAGCAAATAGTGTAGCATTGGCTATAAAACCTTTCAATCCTAACTGGATAAGTGTCTGTTTAAGTGATGAGGGAAACAATGTAGGTTTGTTATTTACCATCGGTTACGTTTCGTATTATTTATTATTACATATCGTTTTACAAAGAAAAAACTACAAGCCACCGTTGAAATCTACCAAACTATCAAACCGTAAAGATGAACAGTGAATCAACCGATTAGTAATATCATTAAATATTTTTTAATACGTCATAACAAATGTATAAGTTTGGTTTAGTTACACGAAATATATATATGAAAGCCAAGAATGTTAATAAATAAACAAAGCACCACAGACGATCTTCATACAAATCAAATCGGGGGCAGTTATTAAAATTAATCTATAGATATTGACAACAGCAACGAGATTATTAGGTACCAAAAATTCAAAGACTAGTAATTGCGATAACAATCCATATTATTCTTTCCATGTGAGTGACATTGCAGTTTGTAAGAAGGAGTATATATCTACTACCTCGTTAATCTGAAATGCAAATCATCACGGTATGTATAGAAATGCAAGGTACAATAAATGAGTACTAAAAATGGTTTACTATGCATATTTATAAATATTTCAGTAACTTTGGCATATAATAGAATATATGCACAATAAGAATAAAATGTGATTGATAATACTTATTACTACAACAGTGAAGGTGACAGACAAGCAAACTTTTAAAATACAAACTAAGATGTAAACATGAGTTTTCATCGAGTTGGACACATGTTGGTTGCATTCTAGTGAAATTTCGATAATAACTAATCAGTTTTTCATCACACGAAACTGGTCAGAACACCTACTATTCAGGTCCTCTTTGTATTTTGCATGGGGGAAGGGGTATTGAGATATTGCTTAAGATCTGGAGTTTTAAATAAACTGTGGGAGCGCAAGGGAGTATTAAGTTTACCCTTTAACTAGTGCCCTCAAGTAGATGAACAAATCGCTAAACGAAAATACTGTGATCATCCAACATCCATATTTCATATAATAAACCAGTCGATCAAAATCTACATAAAGCCTAGCATAGATGTGCGTCAACCCTAGTAGTCATACCACATCTGCACGATGAAAGGATATTACCGAGACATAGCAAGTATCAGCAGTAAAAAAACACGGAACAATGAGAATGTGTTTCCGGGAAAATTACGTATGAAATAGTACTGTAACTCAAGACCCGCAGAAAGATAAGTGAATGCATGTGTGCCACTGTAACCGGTTCTAAGTCATGCTATCCAATGTCTCCAACTACTGACTCGGTAGTTTTTGACCTACCACCACGACATAGTCCGATAGTCTGTGATTTCGTGGATTAATGCTTAGTCTTGGTTTGGGCGCCTCTACCTCACTTTAAACCTATTACCAGTCCAGCCATTATTCTACGTTATGGTTATCGGTAGTTGGTCATACTTATGTTTCAGGTATCTTAGTTGCTGAGGATTGACAACATCAATTGATTTAGCATCTTTGCCTAATATCTCACAACTAACCTCAGCATTGCTCACTCGTTTGTTGTATAACATGCGAGAATGGTATTAAGGCACCTTTAACCGAACATTTGCAGCCTGCTCCATACTTTGGTACTTGACAAGAACAAGCGGTTGATTGAGTATGCAACAGACGATTAGTTGTCTGCTTGGTGGGTTGTGACGCTAACGTAACGAGTTATTTTTCAGCGTGGTGACGGAGTAGGTATAAAACGACGAAAAGCCAACGCGATTCACCTGTCTTTCTGAGTTGTTAATCGGAAAGTGAAAAGTACTGTCATCAGCAATCTTTATAGGAAGCTCTCATTCAAAGTGTCTGTTACAAGATCACGAGTGGTCGTTGTTAAGTCTCCTGGTATACGAAGGGTGGGTCGTATTAGATTTTTCTATTTGTCAGACGGGATCACGTGAATGACCACACTTGAATTCTGTACGCGAGCTCAGGAGAAACAACGTGTGCCGATCGCTCGAGATTCTGAAGTCTTAGCTTAACAGGGTTGTCTGATATGACACAAGGACTAGACATCCAAAACTCACGTAGTTTGGAGTGACATTTCGAGATACCGTGAATAACATTTCGCGAAATCCAATGGATAATAGAAAAACCTGGGTTGGTAATGGTTTTGACGACTTGGGAGCCTAATTGAAACGTCTAAAACAGTACTGCAAGTCGGTCAAAGCCTTTTGTGACTAGTTTACGACGTGCTAGCGACAAGCATTTAATTCTCTGCATGGTCATGATTTACAAGCTTTTCTCTTCTGTTGTGAGGTGCCAGGATCACTGGAGACACTCGTTATCCGTTACTACCATCTTATCCCAATGCGGTTAGCAGTATGACTTAGCAACCAGATTCTAGATTTTTGTTACTTCACCAATTCTTGATTGAATTATTTATTTGCTTGTAAACTTACTGATTTTGATGTTGGTTTGCCTTGTCCATGTCCAGCCTTTGGCTCAATTCGAATCAGAATAGGGTTTGTTTGGCAACAGTTGCGACATAACTTTTCTTGTAAAGTAGCAATAAACTTGAATGAATGTAACGGAACAACACGATCATCATGATCTGCAGTTAAAATCAATAAAGCTGGATATTGAACATCTGGATTAGATGGAATCTTGACATTATGGAGTGGGGAAATGCTATAAGAAGCAAAACATATTTACACATGATTTCTGTTACAAATTGTTACAACAATATACTCAGTGAATAAAAGTACGAGTATATTAGTGATTAACAAACGTTAATGGTATTAATATGGTGTTACAGATTATTCGGATTTCCCAGCCATAATATTATTGATATTAATAAGAGTGTGTAGATAAGTACAACTTAGAATCATATAAGATGCTAGAATTTTCTTGACCTATAATTCGTTTTCGTCAGCTAGATATTAAAACTGATTACTATCTTTTTACACAAGAACCTACTGTGAAATCAAAGAATAATCTAGATTTAAATTATTTCGAAAACACCTTAAACAACGGCTCTAATTGTTAAGTTAATCATAATTGTATGGGACTACAAAACCTATTAATATCAACTGAAGAATATCATTAGTTTATTCATATATTGGATCAGTTTTTAGTTTCTGTGAGACATTTTGAAAAAGTGTACAGAAAAAGAACTAGTAAATTTGGTAAGCAATATTGAATCAGGCTTATACAAACTCCCTTACAATACTGGGGTGTATATTTATCATAATCTTCAAAGTATTTGAAAAAAATAAACCAGGAGGAATAATAAGCTATACGTTCTATTCGTTTGGACGATTTTTCGTTTTTATATATATTCTCGAATTTTATCAGAGCCATGGGTTATTTTATAATAAATTTTCAGCTCAAATAGTGAGCGCTTTAAGTCAATACATTTCCGTGTCGACCGATTCGGTTGTATGAGGTTTATAAAAGGGTAATCACGAAATTTATTCACAAAAAGTCATCAACTAATTGATGCACATGAAATAGAGATGTGTGAGTTGTTCACAGGAGTTACGATTAAGTAAGGGTTAAATGATAAACATGAAAATGTCCCAAAAATAGGAAATGAATAAATGATTTAGAAATGGATTACCGCATCAAGTTTGAAAAATCCTTTTTATTATCAGGATCTCCATAGTCACTTTTCCAGGCGTGTCCAATCGTAAATTTGTGGAATCTAATAAGGTCGCACACTGGGACTTGAGCAATAGCAGCTTTAAATAAATCAGGTCGTTGATTGCAACAGGCACAAACTAGAAGTCCACCATTACTACCTCCTTGAATGTACAGTCTAAAAGTTTAAAGATGAGTTGGTCGTTTTTTAAAAAAGAAAATTGGTGGCTATAAAAACAAACTAAACAACTAAAACTGTGGTTTGGACAGTATTGTAAGTACCAAAACATGAATCTCATAAAACCAAGATAAATCGATATTGTGTACAGAATATAGGAAACATGTTCGTTTTAAAAGAAATTACAGCTACAAATTTAACTAAGTTAACAAACAAACGGGAAGTGTTTCAAAAGTTGACTGGCGAATGTTTGCATACTATTAATATTTATTTGTAGCGTACTCAATACTCGTAAAGAATTCCCACGATAGAACAGATAAAAGCGAACTCAACTCCTAACTTTATTGTATCCGCAAAGATCTATAATCATGTGTTATTTATCCAAATTACTAAGGAGCAAAAAGCAAGATTTAAAGCTGATCATAAGAAGCGACTGATGAGTGAGAAAACAATATAGTCATAAAAGTCGAACTCTGTCCTTTGATGCGTTCACTGATCTCTCGAATAACACATGTGAATCATTTTACATAACAGTCAGTGACTTGATTTCTCATAAGTCTAAGAACAGATGTCGCATCTAACTTCCTTCCAAGAACTTGATGTACCCAAATGCAAATTTACGTTTATGAACAACCACCAACCTATTATTAAAACACATAATATAACGTTGATGTTCAATTCGCTATAATTCGTTATGATTAATAAGCGAAAATGAAAAAAACCAAAAACAGTGAACAAAAAGAAAACTCGCTTTTGGTTGTTAGTATATCCATGATTAATAAGGTATTCGGCTGCTGCTTGGAAATCATCGAAAGAGTTTTGTTTGTTTTGCAGCCGACCGGCGTCGTGCCAAGATTTTCCATATTCTCTATCAATTATCAAATAAAAGTATATGCGTATGAGGAACAGGAATACAAAAAATTTGATTCTAGTTAACTTAGCCACAACACAACCGCGTGAACCAATGAGAGTTTATTCACATGGCCCAGAGCAGATTAATCGTTTCAGACTCATAACTACATTGATCAGCCAGTGATTTAATAAAAGGCACTTGTAATTAAATACCTACAATGCTCGCAAGCCAAACATTTTCATCAGATACGCTTCGAATCTTTAGAATAGAGAGGATTGATATGTGCTAAATATTTCAAACAAAATATTTAGATATCTTACATACGACATAAGCAGATTAAAAACGAACGATCTTGGTGTATCTTAATCAGTTTCATTGATCACAAACTCCATGCCTAGATGGATACAATTGAGACTAATGACACCGACCACCTAACACTGTGAGCTTGAGTAAAAACTTTACACAAAATTGATAAATCAGACTAATCAGGAATCGCCGAGTGATCAGTGTAATCAAATAGCCAAACGATGGCTTTATTTTGCAAAGGATGAGACATTAACTACATGTGATTCGATTTAGCCCAAATAAACTTCACTCTTCGTCTTTTCACCCAGGTAGTCAGTCTTGTGTGTAAGAGTGGGCATTAGCTTCAATTATTAGACACCGCGCGTCACAACAATTACGAACATAATGGAAAAAAATTGTCCAAGTTAAACTAACCCTCCACCACGAATGTTGGCTACTGCAATTATACCACCAAAATGCATCAAGAAAAACAATCGTCCAACCGAAAACGATGGAGTAACAGATATGTTAAATCCACCATAGCCGTAAAGTTGACACGGCGCCGAGTTGTTTTGTTGGAAATTCTAAAAAGTAAAAAATGAGGGAAAATAGAGTGAATCGGAACAGTGACGACTTTTGACGACGAAATGAATATCATTCAAATTGATTAAGCTAAAACTCACTATAATTTAATAAGCCTTCCCAGAAGGAGTAGCTAATTTGGCAAGGTGAAATGTGAAGCGAGACACCAGTGTAGATATAAATGCAAACAGTGATTAGAACACAAGGTCGAGGGTTTTCATATCTTTATTTATTTACTTAAACATATAAACATTCGCACAAGGAGGTATCAAATATATATGCTTCATACTTTGTCATTCGATTTGTGTGAGGGCTGGGATACTTCCCGGGTGCCTAAACCGAAGCAGGTGGTTCTCTTAGGGGGTCAACACCCGGAGTCTTCGATCCAAAGGTTTGATCCACAAGGGAGGAAAGTCAGGATATGTAGTCTCGTGGTAGTCGGTGAACAACGATTGGTTCATATGTCATTTGTTCCTTCGAGATCCTGGAGCCCATGTGCACCATTCATTTGGAATCATAATTTTCCAACTCCCCTAGGCGGATCCGCCATATCCACTAAACCGGTTAAAGTGCCGAACATTCGCTTTTCATCCCCTCAATTTCGTAAACAACACCCCTCAGCGAGAAGGCAGTGAGTAAGACTTCCCTAGCAGAGGCTGTATATGTGTGGCAATATGAGAGCATTTCGAGAGGGAGAGCGGACTCTCCCAGGGCACACCTGGTTTTGTGAGAATAATAATTAGGAAGTAGTCTTGGTAATTAGATTACTATTAAAGTGGATTTCGGTGGATTTTGATACATTTAAATCTAATTTTCATCATTTGATCGTGTAGAAGACAATATGGTTTAGAAATTTGCACCGTAATGTTGTTTATACAAGGTAGCTAATATTTCCATTTAATTGAGCAATCGAGACAAACGCTTGGGGCACTTATCCCTCGAACGTGCAATTGCTGACACAAATACTCCCGTTTTGTAATTTTTTAATTAACTAATTACGTATGATAACCGTGTGTTCACATGCTTTTATTAAATCTTTAAGACCTATTGCGAATCTAATTACTGAGGACAAATCACAGTGGATGGTGGACTTTTTTTCTGTTCTTTGAAGAAAAGATAGATTATTACTATAGAATTCACATATGAAACGAAATTTCATGGGACCAAGACCGGTTGTAAACATTTGTGGATTGATGTGAATGAAAGCTAATCGGTGTTTAAAAGCGTTTTTATAAATATTTTTGAATACTCATAAGTCAGGTGAATTTTGAGCGGAAATTCGTTGCAATACAGCATATTTTGTACTGAAATTTTTTTAACGGCAATGATACGTAGGACTAAATTATATGGTTATTATTATTATCGCGGTTTGAAAAGAGATCGTAAAAGAATTAATTAAGTTCCACTTTAAGATGTAACACTTTGAAGTGATTTTCAGTTCATTTCCCTAGTTTTCATTAGCAAGAGATTCAGAGTCAATGAAAAGTCGTACTTTATAGGAATACTTCAGATAGCAGTAATCATGAAATCAGTTAAGTGTTTTACCCTTAGCAGTAGTACATAGCATAACTTAAGCAAAGTTGATTAGGTTGATGGTAGCTGCCTTGTCCGGTTTATCACAAAACGTTTTGAGTTTAATAGAAGGTATAGACAGACATTAATCCAGCATTATTACAAATATGAACAATGAGCACGGATTTTCAGAGATGACTAGTATTCTAGTTAAAAGGTATTAAAAGATGGATGTGTGACGATATCGATAGGACAAGTTATATAAAGGTAGTGAATTTATATATACTAAAACGTTTAATATTTTTACTTACTTTAGGTAGAACAAGAAACATAGGAACTACAGTTTTATCTTTACTTTCATAGAATACTTGTTTCACTTCAAATTGATCTAAGTCTACATCCCGAATCTTTGACTCTCTGATAACCTGTCATCAAACAGTAACATCAACAAGGATAATAACAGGTAAACTTGCACATGTAAGTAACAAAAATAGAAAGACATATAATATGTAAGATAGCTAAAAAAACGTTTTTGATGTATGAACATGATGATTAAGTAAGAGGACGAAGTAAAGTTCGTGATCACATTAATTAACTTGGAGCCATTTACTTGACCAAGAAATACGAACAATGGAACGTGAACTGACACTAAGAATTTGATTATATTTTTTATGTGAATACCCATAAAAGCTCACTACTAAATGAACAAAGCAATGGTATGGAAACGATAGGTTGATGGTGTGTATGACCAGTGATCTATGTTTTGTGGACAAGCCTACCCACTCCGCAGTGAAAAAGGTTGCTAGCATTAAGTATAGTAACTACCAGATTACAATACTCCGATCACAGATTAGCTGAAAGACGATACATTTGAGCAGGTGCTTAATTCCTACTTACGATGGTAGCGGTAGACAAGGTAACTTTAATTCACCAGTCAACAAGTGTCGAAAACCGCAGGATACGCATGATGCCATTTCTGATTTGTAGAATTCAATACTAGTACACAAAAACAAGTAATGCTACAAACAATTCACCTCCCAAACTACTTACCTCTAACTTTGGATGAGAGTGGGAAAAATTGTAGGAGTAAATTATTCCAGGAGTGAGAAACGATGTAAAATGGATGAAAGCCTATATTGAGAAAAATTAAGTTTTATAAAAGATAAATCACAACCTACTTCATCATCACGTTTGCGTCCAGTTACATTAGCGACGCATCCAAGTGAAATATCAATATCCGATATCTTCTCCCCAGTGAGTAGTTTGTGTACGGATAAGCAGCTCTAAATGGACACAAGTTAGAAAATGTTACGTGTCCCAATATAATAAAAATTTTGGATGTATATAACATACGTAAAATATTTTCTGTATTTGTGTCTAGAATCCTGTAGTTGATAAAAGTGACAAAATGCCGTTTTCGTGGACAACATATCGTAAATGCTAGTGCATGAGATAATGAAAGTTAATAGCAATAGTCATCAGGAGCTTATCAACGAACCATGGAATATCCAACAAAAGGTAATGAACTATAAGTTACCTATGTAACTGCATAACGTAAATTGGGAGAAAGGACACTAGTTGGGCCAGTTGAACTTGATAAACTCATGCAAAAGTCAATTCCCATCCTTAATATGTCGAAGATTTCTTTTAATTACTGCACTAATAACTTGTGACTTCTATCAAGTTTCTGTTCACGAGGCATTATTCACTTCGAATAACTGGTTAATAGATATACAAACTCGAGAATTATTTTTTATTAGGCTATTTAGGTTAATGAATATTATTTAAGGAAACAATACAGAACTGACCTTAACATTCTTTAGATGACAAATGATCAATTTATCCTCGTTCACACAAACTGCACTTTCTAAGAGTGATTCCACATTGTGATCGATAAGATCTTCCCAATGTTGCTAGAATATATGGAAAATAGAATTAGGACATTTATTGTAAAAAAACAATCACTGAATAAATTTTCAACATATATATATCAAGTACATGCCATTACACTAAGCTTGTTTTTGCACACTTTGTAGAAGGCCCAATTAAATCAAGTGACTCAAACAAAAAAATCACAAAAGTTTAGAATATGATCATGGGGTTAATCATATTTGTCATTCTCACTTGAAAATCGAATGAAATTGCATGTATGATCACGCACATGGCAAGTGTTTATTTGCATTTGTTCACAACATAATATATATTTTATACACTTAATAATTCGTGGAAAAATAAAATCATTTAGCACCATAACTACTTAATGAGACTTCATACTAGTTTGTTTATTCTAAAGCCAGGATAGAACGCTGAAAAGTCTAAAGAGAATCAACTACATAGTTTTCGCAAACTATATGGTCGTTCAGTGAGAACCATCAGCACCCAATAAATCAATCTTATGATATTATAAGCAAAGATGGATGGTGGCTAGCAGTGGAATCCAGGACGCACGTTTTTTCCTATTTGGGACTCGTCAGGTAGATGTACCTGAATCCCAGAGTTGATGGTTATTCCGGGACTCGAACCCAGTACTGTTCGCTTCAAACGCCACCGCGTTATCCACTTATGACGAAACGCGTGTCCTGGATTCCACTGCTAGCCACCATCTATGGGAAGATTCAAGCAAACAATACCAAGTGAATTCAATCCCATGGTATTTAATTGATAATCGGTTGAAAAGATTGAATATAATATCGCAAAATGGTGATATGATTTAACAATTATTATAATCTGTCCATAAGTATATATATATATATTTCCGGTACCCTCAGGAAAAAAGATGCAGTCTTCAGAATTGCTATGAAATATGACCAATAAATGAGGATAATAATCGCAGTCACATACAGACAAACTTACACGATCACAATTAGAAAGATTGATTTTGATTATCTTGTACATCGGAGCATCTAAGTTGGTGCGAAATACAAATGAACCACCTTCATTTGTCACATATTCATAGACAGCTTCAAAGCGATCGACGATTGGAATCAACTCAATTTTTTCTAAAAAGAATTATCATTAACACTGGTAACGGTTTCATTGATGTTGCTACTCAAAATGAACTACGGAGAATGTTTCAATACATGACCCTAGCGCAAAATGTGGAAAATGGAGGCTAACTGAAAATCAAACTATGCAAATATACAACTGCATATCATTATTCCTAAAGAAGCATTCAATAATCTCATTGATTTACTCATAATAATGGTGTACAAATATATAAACCTTAAGGATTATTGTTATTATTCGTTGAAAATACATGGCAATGTTGCAGTGACTACAGTCTTTAATAATTTAACATAGTATTTGCTTTTCGTGTATTCAAACAGAAAACTGAAGACTAGGACCACTGAAATTATATCCCTTAGGACATAATCTATGTTAGAACCAGAGATTAAATTCTATCTAATTTGTGGGAAGAGTTACAGTCGAATTAAGGTACACTGTCCAGAAAACCACTGATTATGTCAGCTGATTTACTGATCGTTATACTGCCCGCAGCCCTTCACACCACTTCGTCTAGCTTCCACATCCCTGAAGCTTGGTTAATTACAAACTTTTTGTATTGGCTTTAAAATAAACCAGCACCAAGTCGTGTTCGCTGAGAGATCAAAGATACTATGAATATGATATACATTGATGGTAATACAAGAATCGTAAGACAAAAACTACTTAATCACTGGGTCTAGTATACATCAAAGATCAATGCTATGTTAATGCACAAAGACAAACTGGTTACGTAACAACTAACTTTTGATAATTAGATCGACTTTTTCAAGATCGCAGTAGAAAAGCTGGTTATTGGGTTCACATCCATCATACAAAGTTACCAGTAAGTATCTCCCGCAATCAGACACTTCTCCTTGACTGATATTTCAAAATACATATAACACGAAAACATATGCCAGTGTAAGAGATCATATCAATGAAACAAAGACGTATAATCTTATTGATTTCGATTTACGTGATATAATATTAAGAGTACCAGACACAATCTTGTGGAAATGAAACATTGGAAAAACAATATATATATATATATATATATATCATGTTTCGGTTTGGGCACCCGGGCAGTATCCCAGCCCTCACACATATCGAATGAGATTTGTGTGGTGCATATATATCTGGTACCTCCTTGTACCAATATCTATGTGTCAAAATAAATAAATAAAATTATATATATAGCAGATAAAATTTGATGTGTGGACGAGAATGATAGTGATTGTCTGCTTAGTCGGACATGTAAATAGTCTAACAGGTGTCAGATGAGTTATATATTCCCATATCCTTATAATTATTATCATTGATTGTTAATTGTTGTTGGATTGTGTCGGGTTTTGGTGTGGAAATATATTTACATTCTGGTCAGACTAATCATGTATTCTTGATCTGAGTTATGCTGAAGTCCTGTAGAATAGACACTGGAAAGGTATCTAGTGTAGATATTCGTCTAGGGCAAATTTACGTCCCATAAGTGTAAACGTGGAAATCCAACCGTTATAACAAAATTATTCAAAGACAAGAGCAAAAGCATTAGTAATACAGAAGTTATTGTTTGGATTAAAATAAACACCACGCCTATATACCGATAACGAGCAATTAGTAGCTTAATGGACTTAGCTAAAACATTGTCGGAATTTTCTTACGTCTTTGGAAGGATAGCATCAGACGTTGGAAATGTGTCACCCATATCAATCGATCCACATTTACGACTAAACGTAAAATGACTCCAGATTCACCCTAAATGCCGTTCGTTAGATGATCCAACTAAGAAATCTTACAACCGAACACCTGCAACTTAATATTTGACATTCACCATCATTTTAAGGGGTAGGATGAAATTTTTAGATACATGTTGGTAAGCAATAGATTCAAGATTTGTATGTCATACATGCATACCAAGTGAGATTAATTGCAACAGGAAAAAAACAATCTCGCCACCGCTAAAACAAAGCTTGAAAACATCAAGCTAACCAGCCTTGGGAAGTTTTCAAACAAGACAATGTGAGACAGAACATACTATAGAGGTGGGCTAAGTTAATAGGTGAATGATTAAAAAAAATTATCTTTCGAATTGAGACTTATGTTTATACGCACATATTCCAAGTAGGGTGATCCGGTCGTTCCAGGAACAAGATATCATCTGACTGTGGTGTACCCAGACGATGGTACATGAGCTTCTGATCAGTATTAGTAGTTGTTTCAGTACCATCCGCTTTACCTTCGTGCTGAGGGTACATACAGTAAAAAACACCTTTCTCATCCTTCGTCCACGAAATTGAACTGAACTTGACATTTTTCAAAACATCTGGCAGATCTTCGCCCGATTCGCAGGTTTTAAACTAAGAAAACACATTAATGAAATGTAAACTTACTTTAAGTTCAGACCAATCAGAACCACCAAAACTAAGACCATAACAACAATAAGTTCCTTCCACCGAAAAACTGTAGTTTCTCAAAGATGTAAGGCCTTCTGGATCAATTTCGTTAGGATCTAAAAACGTTTTCGTGGGTCCTGACAACGTTTTCATTTGATAAAGAACACTGACAAATCCCTCTTCAAATAAAAAAGTACCTTTGATTTTGTAAACCACTATTATGCCATATATAGTAAAAGGAGCCGTATTTCAATGGACAAGAGTATTTTTCGTAGTCCCAGATAGCAGTTAATCTAAAAATATAACTTAAAGTAATACATTTACCTATCTCTGATTTTCGAAGTGTATGGACATTTACGCAAGAACTGCTCCGTTATCAGATTTTGTGCCTTTACAAAAGCTTTTGTCTGGGCAGAATCCGGGTCTTCCAGCCATCTGTAAGGATCATGAATCTAGCCAGGAAGGAAAAGGTTACTTTGTAAACAAATTAGGTAGGTCCAGTCAAATTGTAAGTAGAGAATGGTCTACTTCTCAATGGTAATTTCCACGATACAAAGTGAACATATAACATACAAAATCACAATTAAGTATATAATTTAACGTCAAGACATGAATTGTTAATAGACTAGTCCTCTACTTTAATTAGAGTGCTAAAGATTACTGTTATTGTACTTCCTTATTGTGTATTTAATTCACAAAACGAGCCTTGCGAATTTCTGGGCATACACGAACTTAAGAATGAAGATTAGTACTAACTGTATTTGAAAAAATTCAATTTTCCAACACTAAGTTATCGAATTCGAAGAAACCCGGCCATGAATTTCGGATAAACTGTTCACATGAGAAATAATTGCTATAATATCAACAAATTAATATAGGTTGAGTTTTTCCTTATTCCTTAAACAACGGAAAATGGTTGCTTATCACTTTACAAAACTATTTGCTCTAATACTAGAAATATTTAAAATTGAATAGGTCTTGCATATTGCGAACAGCTTATTAAGTTACATTAACTAATCATAATTACTGAATTTCGAACCAGATATCTCACGCTACTGGACTGCATTAGGCACGAAATGTAAAGTTGAAATAAGCTAGTTAAGTACTCCAGAGTAATGTTGTGTACTAGTTTCTGGTTATAAAACGATCACGAGAATCTTTACTAAGGGTTTAGACACTCACTCGAACGCAGCCTAGAACCTAGCATATGTATACATCGGTTTAATTTGCCATAACCCGTTAGCGTGGAGATGAAATTGCCAGGGTGAATCCCATAGTTGTAGAGGTAATAGCAGTATTAGTGGTAATAGAAAAGACTACACATACAAGAGACCATCTGATAAAATATAACTTAGTGAAATAATGGGGAAAATTTATGAGGAATCTAGATGGAATGTACCTGCGCCATCTCTAACAATCGGTTACCATAATCACGTGGACCCCAACCAAATAATCTACACGTACCTACACGACTCAGTTCAACAGTCAGTGTCTTTATGTGTTAATACCATGTCTTGGTTTGGCCGTCCCTACATTTCTCCTAACCTGCTCCTGCACCAGCCATTATCGCACGTCGAGGTGGTTGATGGATGGGTTTGCGTAGTACATATCCTAACCATCTCAGTCGACAGAGATTCAAAAACTTATTGATTTAATGTGGGCAGAATTCGATTACACATAAAACGTCTTTTGTTTATATAATTCTTATACACATATTAAAAGCATTGTTTTGGAATGGCACAACCTTAATGGGTAGTTAAAAAAATATGAGGAAAACAATCCTCGTACCTGGACATCAAATTTTTCCTCTATAGTAGATTCATCCTTATATATCTCAGGATAGTTGATACTGGTATGCTCCATTGAAACTACAAAAGAATAATTATGGGTTTTTATATTTTTGAAAAGGTAGTGCTGTTTTTACCCAATATTTGTATTTATACAAAATTTTGGGAATACAATTTTTTAGTTGATTCATTATGGTAGCAAACCTATCATCGACTGATACGTTTTTACCACACGGAGCGAAGGAACACCTAAAATTACCCATAAATCACACGTTTAGGCAATCCCTACAAACTCTTAATTAAACTGAGCGAGTGGCTGTTTTGAATGACTAAATAGATTATGTAGGCGATGTTAACTTTAGCACATGAATTAGTTGAGCGTAAACAAAAGTATTTACAGATTAACACGTCACGTACACATAAATGTTTGATCGTGATACATATCTTTTATACAACGATGCTAATGTAGCAACAAGAATTCGTAAAAACATTGAATTTTCACTTATTTAGCGTAGTATTCATGAGAAACGGCTTGTGTATCTAACAGCTTACAGTATGATAGAATTGTGGAGAACTAGAGTGAGGATACTGAGTAGTTCTATAGGATTTCTAATTCAGAATAAACAGTTGATTAGAGATGAGAAAGAAGCTACTTAATAATTAATGGGGTTGAACCAGCATGTTTCTTTTTGATAGGTGATGTGCTAAATAATTACTCTATAACTACACAGCTTAAATACAAGAATATATTTATTTTGTTTAAGTAAACGGAAAACACCCACTAAGACATTAAATATGATTGGTTCAGCGAAAAGATCTCTTTTTAGCGAATTCATTTTCAAAGCTATACAATCGCAAACACATACTTTTTTCAGGATGATAATAATCACAATAATTGTTTCAAACTAGTAGGAAGCACTCGAACTAATGGCGTGTACTACATACAGGCCCAGTAAATACTTATGATTGCTAGGTCAGAAATATCAGTCTAGGACAAACGAAGTGTGGTACAGTGCTTAGGTTGGCCTGACTCCTTGACACAGCACTGTATATTTCGACTAATATGAAGTTTCTCGACTTGGAACTAAAATACGATGCAAATTATTGTGCATCTTTGCATGTTATTTGTGCAGAACGAGTTGACGACCCTTCCAACTATGATTCTTTATACTTAATTGTATACAAACAAAACACACGAGCATAGGTGTGGTTTTGAGTAACTTTGTAATTAAGTATAAGATTAGTTCATTTTATTATTAGCATGTTGACTTAATCGGTTTCTCGAAGGAAATAAACTCGCTTAGTAGTCTTCAGTTCTGGTTAAGTTGCCTATTAAGTGACGCACCATCACGATAAACTATTCTCGAAGCAAGTAAGAATAAACTTGGACGGATCTGCAAGAAATCCATGGGACAGAACTATGAATATATGAATAATACCTCATATACAGTGTGGGTTCTAAGAAAAAATATGACTGGATTATTATTACTTTTAAGAAAGCCATTGTGACTTGAACAGATTTTCAAAGTCGCATTACTAGAATAAGAAATAAACCGTACTTACACAAATATTTATAAATACGTTAAGAATACTTTAAACAAGAAACAAATTTTTGAGTATTATACTAAATGCTTACTAACCAGAAAACAGTACGAATTATTGATGAGATGTGAGCATGAACTACCTATATTGCTTGACAGCCTTTATTGTAATTTAGACATGCTCTTCAATAATGACTTAATTCATGACACGCTATTTAAGTTTAACATGATGCTATCCATACTCACATACTTTACAAGACCTACCACAAAATATCTACTAATGTGGAGAGACATACAGAACAAAGCATTAATGTGACATTACCGGATGAAATCACAACACGACGCTGCGTCAACAGACAAACACGCACCAGTGATTTGCCGACTCTTGTAAATACCGGGGAAGACATTAAACCGACAAAACAAGCCAACGACTATGATGCAAGACAACAAATATTAGCAACAAACCATAACTATTTTACCAGAACGTATAAACCATTCAATCGATTTTCATCAGTCGATGGTGACATGGATATTCAAGAAGTTCCATAATCACAAAATAAAGTTTCAAATAGTAGTGCACGGGATAGAAGCTTTCGCATAACGAACTTCCGTGTCTAGTAGCAGAGAATCACCAATACCTCTAAGCAGGAACCTCGGTTTATTAACGATAGTAGAAAAAAAAGAAAATGGTAATTCATAGTAACAGATTACCCTGTAGCGGTAGATAAATCCCCAAAATAAATAGCTCTGTAAGTTCTCGACATTGGATGCTGACCATATGTTTTGGTGGACTCATCTAGCTGAAGGCACTCGGTCATGCATCCGCACCAGATCACGTGTGAGAACTGCTACTGCAATCGCTAGCCAGATTAAATCAGATAATTCCGATATATTGGCAATCATCAAATACAGCTTCTGATCTCCTCGATTCTGTCTTTTGATTTCTCTTGGTGGGTACGAGTTAAATTGTAAGGTGTTACTGGTAAAAGCGTTGTCAAACACTGAATACCCGTGTCATCTTTAACCCTTAGTCCTTAAGAATATATCAAGTTGCCTCTTGAAGGACTCCTGGAAAGTCGCCTGGACTAGCTCAGCCGGCAGCGAATTCCAGCATCTGACAACTCTAAAGGAGTAGAAGTTATGTCAACAGTCCGTTCTTCTGTGTTGTGTCTCTAGTTTCTGGGTGTTACCCTTGAGGTTTGTGTTGGAGCTAAGTGTTAAGAATGCTGTAAATCACCACAATTTCACCTCTAAGACACCTATACTCTGATTGGTAAAGGTTCGGCAATTTGAGGCGCTCTTCATAGGGATTAAATTTTAGTCCCCAAATTGATTTCGTGGTTCACAATTGGATACGTTCCAATGCGTTCTTATCCTTTTGGATTGAGGACAGAAACAATATACTGCCACGCTTCAATTGGAGTCGAAAAGACTGCTGAGGATTATGTGGAAGGTTCCTCCATCAAACTGGCCAAAAATGCGCTTCAATGTTACGAGTGCAAAATTTGTTCGAAAGGCATTTTTGTCACAGTTAGCGTGAGACTTCAGATCACAAGGTACCAACACTCTTAAATTTTTTTCAACTTGGGATACTTCTAGAAGGGAGTCGCCTAAGTTGTAGCTGTAGTCTGCAACATGTCACCGATGAACTACTTTGCACTTCGGAGTGTTAAACGTATGTCCGTTGTTGTCCGCACAACATTGAGGACGAGTCAGATCCTCCTGAAGTGACAATTTCTCCTTGTGGTTGTAAACTTCTCACCAGAGCTTAACATCATCTGACTATACCTGCTGTAAAAGGTGGTTTATATAAACCAAGAAGAGATGTCCTAGTATTGAACCCTGGGGGACCCTACTAGGACATTCCATAGCCTGAGAGAAAGTGAAGTTAATCCTTTCCCTAAAATGTCAATATTTAGATATGAAGTGAGCCAGTCATTTGAAGGTGTTTTGATACCCAATTTTTTGAGCTTATTGTTAAGACAAAAATGGTTGACATCACCAAAATCATTTGAGAAGTCAAACTTCCCCTTGCGATCAAAGAAATTTTGTTGATCTGTCCACCGCAATCGGTGGATAGGTTATACGAGAGTGAACGTTTCTGAAATCATGCTGTTCGGATGAAAAGAATTTTATGAATAGGAAGCAGTTACGTAAACCGTCACAAATCAGTAACTCCATAATTTTGAGGGTGTTGAGAGAGAAGTGCTACTGACCGGTAGCTTGAAAGTTCGCTGCGTCGACCTACTTGGAAAACTGGTTTAATGTGAGCCAGCTTCCGATTTACTGGTATCGCGCCTCGAGTTAGTGAATGTGAGATCATCACGTTAGGCGGGTCCTCCAAAACTAAAGAGCGGGCTCTTAGATTTCAGAAAGTTGAAGGCCGGGCACACTATGCGTGTTAGTTTACGGGTTTTCGCGCACATGTAACATATTGTCGTGGATTTTATGTTTCGTTATTTATCAGCTATTAACAGCCTTTTTTCCATCATACGTGACTTCTCGTAATCTTTGTGATTGGAAGATAGTATTTATTTCAATTTATAAGCAGTTTGACGTATTTTGTGCTCACCACCTAAGTAAACATGCAGTTGGCGTAATATGGTTATTTTTTAATAATACAAGATCAAACAAGTCAAATCACCATTTTTCTAGTGAAAAATAAAAAACAGATTGACTTTTCATGAAAATAAGCCGTGAAAAGCATTATATATGGTTCACCTCCTTGTTTATGGTGACAGCAAACATAGATGTTCGCAGTCGTTTATAAGATGTTATCAGAAAGAAGTAAGCATTAAACTAACTATGGATATTATATAAATTGTTTGTATTTAGCCATAAAAGGTTATTTGCACTAAAGGTAGCATTGTTTGGTATTGAAGTGACATATTATTGTGTAACGTATCAGAGAAAAATTATGTGAGTAAGAATTGATGTTGATAGTCTTTTTACCGGCTTTCTGAACGTATACAGGAACAGTGTATAACACCACATTAAATAGGCACAAAATCTTCATAAGTGAAACGATGGCTGTCTCTTCTGAGCATGGTGACAAAACCATGTCGTACTTAATACTCATTTATGATGTGTCTGTTATAGGGTTGACGAATAATTTTCTGTAAACGAAATGCACAGTCTCAGACGAAAATGTGAACAAACTTATGATGCATATTGTCGAGTAATATCTAAATGGTACTTACCAATTTTTCTTGCTAATACCAGATGTATGTACGAAATAATACAAGGGTTAGACACTGAATAAATGTCCAGTGCTTGTTACGACACAGACTTGAATAAAAAACAACTATTCATGAGTTAATTCATGAATTCCTACTGTATTACAGACTGACTCGTCCGAAGTAATTCATGCAGACAACGGGACGAAAAGTGAATGAGCAATGGAAGCAGAATCACAAGTTCCTTGTATTCATATCTCGTTTATGCCAATTTTTAAATAACATTGATTTGTGTGTTGTAAAGATTACCTATTAATTATTATTAAAGGAAATAGAAATCTCTAATGATTAGCGCTGTCTGCAAATAAGAGACTTATAGGTAAATTCTGTAACCTGCTATTTGATGTACTTATTGAATGTGATACTTATAACTGGGTCTAATTCTTTATTTCACAACTGATTTGTTTGTTTTTCAGAATTGTATGAATCCAATAAAGTCGTCAAAGGTTTGTGATGTTTACGCCGGTCTACAACTTACAGAATTTGTCAAAAAACGGTTTACATGTTCACGTTAACTGTGTTCCGTATTGCCTAGCAGGGATATCGGCACATCATAAACGTGCTACAATTGCATTGACAAATGCTTATATCAACTTCATAATGTTGTCCGCGATCAACCATAAACAACCAATCACCACTTTCATATTCCACGTAGACAAAACGCATTTGTTTAAGTTCGTATAACAATTTAGATCTAGCGAATGGGGTCAAAATGTTTAGCAGGGGTGTAAGACGCTGTGGAGCATTATATTTATAAGATCTTGCGGCTATCACTTGATCTTCGATGCTTCTAGCTGACGTCATTTCACTTGTACAGACTATCACTTTTGCGTACATATCGTTTAATTTGCCTATTCAGCGATTCAACATGATTATTCGTGCTGTTACCGAATGTTAAAACATGACCGTAAAGCATATCCATTACCTGGTTCCGAGTATTATACGTAGAATCAATGCACACAACTTCTGGATATTTTCTGTACAGTTGTATTTGGTTAGAACTACTGAAACATATTCTAGTGGCATATCCATTTTCTAAATGTTCCTTCACTTCGCCTCTCTGTCTAAGCATATCCATTACCTGGTTCCGAGTACAACAACCTGAAATATATTTATATACACTTACCAGTGGAGAGGGTAGCTTTCATCCCTTTGACATCGGCAGCAGTTACTTGCTTACCAGTTCTCTCCTTAATGCTTTCGATAACTTCATCTGCTGACTCACAGTGAAGTATTACGGGCTTCAAGTTCTCTTTTTCTTCTGACGATAATCTCCTTGTCAATGGATCACATACCATCCATGAACTACTACATGGATGATTGTGGAGCATGTTGTAGGATTTGATGACATATCCTTGCTCCTCTAGTCTTACACGAAATTTAGATTGACAATTACGGAATTTAGACCTTAAACATAAGATATTAGTTACAGATCTTACGATTTTTGCCTCACTTTCAAACCTTCCGATTTCCTCTTATGACCAAACGTACAATTAAACGATACAAACAGGTACTTGAACCTGACATCCTTCAGCAATCTGCTCTCTCTGTGGATGTAACGAGTATAAGTAGTCTGAGAAGCGATAAAACTATAATTCCATACTTTTTGGAACTCTTTTAAAGCGCTTTCAAAATCATCCCACAAGACGAAACGCTTGTTCAGTATCATACTTCGAAAGGCATCGGTTAGGTCGACTGAAATGTCACTTGAGCATGAAGCACTAAAAACAGAAATGACTAATTATTAAAAGGTTATTCCTTGCGACAATAATAACCCAAGAAAATACTACAAATACTTAGGATTTACCTGTGACTTGACATTTCGTTGAGCTTTACTACAGTTGTTGGGATCAAAGATCAAATTACAAAGCAACAACAGAGCCAACGTGTACACTACAAAACAGGGAACGCTAAATTAATGGTTTTGGTATTTATTTCGTGCTTTTTTATGTAGCATAACATGACTTATATATGAAAAAACTTGGTACTCATGCAATCCAACCAACCCACGGCAATTGAAATACGGAATGACCGCCTCTAGTCAAGCCGTTCAAGGTCGTTGAAACGAAAGGGCGGGCACATTTCAAAAGGACCTAACGTTTAAACCTTGCCTGAAGGCCGCGTTAAAATTCCGAAATCGCGAATTGTGTGTTATATTCAGTATGCTTATATTGAATGAAGTTGTGTTTTAAGCTGTGGTTCATATCATGTATATATAAAAGTCACTGCACGATAGTTGAGTCCCCCTTCCGAAGTTGATTTAAGATTGGACTTCGGATATAGGAAGAAAAGATTTGTTTATTTTCTTATAGAGAGCCGTGTAATTCCTCTGCCAGCATATATGTCAACATTTATTTGCCTTTAAAGGCGAACTGTACTTATATCGAACTCAAGAAAGTTTACAATATACTTAAGGGTGTTGGCGATTATCGTGGTAGTCGGTTTTTTTTAAAAACTCCTTGGAAATCTGTGGTTTTTCAGAGAAGTCTGTTACGCTTCTGCTTAACACATTGCTTTGGTGCAACTTTTGTATGGTCATGTGACTACAAATAAATTCTCTACTTAAAGCCGTTTTATGATAGAACACTGATCAATGTTTGTGGATTATCATTCTGTGACGTCGTTATGTTGACATGATTATTAACGTAAACATTGAATTGAGACTGCAAAACTATTCATTAAGTGGTGAAAAATGGGCTTACTTGTGTGAGTTCCTTTAATATGAGGGTTTTGGTTGTAGGATTAAAATATGCACTGTGAAAACTGAGCACAAATCAGTTTTATTATTTCTTAGCCATGAGTTTTTGATTTGACCTCTCTATCTGTTTACTGGCTTGCATGAGGTTTAAAAGTTCGTAAAACATTTACAGCAACGATCTTAATGGCTACACTTATCCTAAGAATCTGTCATAAACATATAGGCAACTTGACTTGAACTTCAGGTTTCCAAACTTCCTGGTTTGGAAATTATCATAGTATTGTAGACAAGTTCTCAGAACCAGTTACATAGATCGTTAAGCTTATTTTTCCGGCTTCATGTCAGCATGAAGCTAATTAGATTTCGGGAAGGTTGTTTACAAAGCTTGTACACTATCATCCAGCTGAATTCTACAAGAGATTCAGTAAGTCCTTTAAAGTTTCTGCAATGACAAAACATGTTCACTAAGATCCTTACTATGAGCAGGACAGTTTGTAGTATTCCTAGTTGAGCAGCGTAATACACTGCTGGGTGAGACTATAATGTATGGACGTGGATAGTGGCCTTGAAAAGGACACCTTGCTAGGTCTAAGAGAAATTTATAAACTAGTCTGAGGAATCAGGATTAGAATTTAGAGTTAGAGTTTATGGTTAGGAATTAAATTCAGGGTTCTCTTCACAAACTAATATCACCTGTAATTTCTATTTAATCATATGAACGAATGAATTGCGCCAAAATCTAAAACGTGCCATCTTTAATTTTATTGGTTCGTCCAGAGGTTATAGTCTTGCCGATTGCTAAGTAATGGTCTAAATTATTTCCTAGTATGAATGTTTTGTGTTCAGGTACTTGGTGCTCTATGTTTATCTTTCTGATTAAGACATGTAGATGTAGCTTAACAATAAGCAATTGTGAAAAGATTAAAAAATTGTTAAAAAAAGTCGTTTTCTCCAGACTAAACATGTTTGGAGGAGTAAACTGTAAAGAGCATTGAAACAAAAGTTTTAGGAATGCTGGATTAACGTCTTTGTTAACGTAATGCTTAAATAATTGACTAGCTGAGTAAAGCACAGACAAGAAGTGAGTTAATAGTCATAATTAAGGTTGTAAAAAGTCACGCAACAAACACCTAAAAGTAATTCTGTGTAAACGTAACAAGGTCAATAACAATGTTTTTCTGTATACATAAATTTGGCTTAAACCTTTCTTTTAGCAACTACTTCAGCAAAACCCAATAAATTCAAGATAGTTTGTTTATTGGTTATTTCAAAGGATTCCAGGTCGTCTACATTATACTCACTGTTTATACATTCACGACTTTTGTTGTTACCTCGACACAGTGGACTAGTTTAGTCTTCGTGACTACCTGCTTGCGCTGTTTCGTTTGGAACATATTTCTTGAGGTTTTCTCATCCCAATAGGTCATTTAAGAAAACAACAGGATCAAAAATAGCAAGTTCTAATTTAAAAAGTAATATGCCTTTACGTCAGGTTCTACGTTGTTATTGACTAGTTGGATGAGTTAAATCATCTACTGCATTGTACTCGTAGTAGTGATTCCCACAAGTAGTCATCATGTCTAGTGGCCGTTGCTTCTTATTAATCTCAGATCGAGAATAATACAGTCCTGTTGGTAAGCTTTAAAAATTACGAAGCTAACACAACAAAAAAGTCATGCGACTGGGCTCAAGTGGTTGCGATTCTAACTAATCGGTCACAGTTCCGGGTCGAAAACGTCGTCGTTACTAATCAAATTTCTTAGGTCTGTAGCAAAGAAATTCTGTTTCACGTTATAAGCAACAGAAATATATAAACCAGCAAAGTTCATCACACCTACTAGTAGCTGTTGTTTTGAGGCAAGACATCTCAAGAAAGAGACCTCAGACAGACGTATGCTGGTCCACGTTGTCGAACTAGATTGGCATAACAAAATAATATTGTAGCAATCGTAAGACGAAAGACAATCTTAGTAATATGGTTTAAAAAGATAGTGGAAAGGTATGCACGAAGGGATACTGGAGTACAATATCGAGAAGATAAAGAATAAGTGCATCTGAACCACTGTGGACAATTTCAAGCTGTGTTACCCAAACTTGATCACGGTTATCACGCGAACCCCGACCAGATAGTTGGATTCTATCAACATGGGTTGGAGCAACAGTCAGTGACTATATGGATTAATGCCATGTCTTGGTCTGGCCACCCATAGCTTCCCTGAAACCTACTTCTACACAAGCAAGCTCGTCGAGGTGGGTGGTGGTTAGGTATACGTAACACATGTTTTAAATGCCTCAGTTGATGAAGATTTACAACCTTATTAACTAATATACTACCTTTGACGAGTAATTTATCGGTTTGAGGTGTGTAGCAGATAATAAACTTCCTGTGTAGAATACTCGAGTTGTTAACTGTCGGCTGAAAATTGCATGTGGTAGTCTACAAGAAAATATGATGGCGTTAATACATTCCACATCCTAAGCATCTTGTTACTCATCAGTTACCTGCTATAGCTTCCAGTTACATAATACGGGTAGGTGCACTTGACGTTGACCCCTAATAATATGAAGACTAGTGGTACTGCTTGCCTGCTGAAACGAAATCAAATGGTACTAGGTTTAAACACGTGACCTACTGGCTAATATTTAAGTTTTTCCAACGCTAATTCGCCCATCCATTACTGATTGTAATCTTTTTCCTGATTCTCTTCAGCAGTGCTGTGATAAGGTTTAATTAACTCAACTTGAACACTTTCATGCGAGATTCTGTAATAATATATCTTCCTTGGAATAGTTTATTCTTAACGCTTCTCTGACATCTTTCTCGTAACAGGCCACTTATAAAAACGATTTAGTGGTTATGTTTTCGCTGATTATTGCATTTCCCGTTCTATAATTTCTATGGAGTTCATTTCACCGAAGTTCAATTCTGAATGCACACTATTATCATTCTTCCAACAATAAATTTTGTTTATTTGGTCCCCGTGCTAAAATGTGCTTTCATCACGTTCAATTTAGAACGAGTAATAAAATTACAAATGCTCGGTGTTTTTGATGTCGATCTGCTACCACAGGAGCTTCCACATACTACTATTACATCATGCCTTTGCAGTGGTGCCGTTTTTACAGGTTCTCAGCGATCCAAGGGTAAAAAGTATAACGTGGAAGTAACAATACAAGCAAGACAATATCTTCGATAATCATGACCTTTATTCAGTATGTCGATATGAAGCAAAAAATGGTGTACGGCTTTATGAAAATTGAGAATTTGACCCAAGAATATCCAAGTCTGACCACATATTTTGAAGGAGAAATAATAAGTAGACTACACCCGTTCATGACTGGTAAATGGGATGCTACCATGGAAACAGATGTCTTACACTGGGTATTTGTTTAATTATTATCAATTCACTTGCAGGAAAAAATACCAGCAACAAGTTCTCTAGGGAACTTTCATATAGATAGTTTCGACTACTCTATTTTAGAAACATCCGATACGATATTTATGAGATGGAAAGTGAGTTGTTTTTTAATGTTAAAAATTTTCTTAGGAAAAGTTCATTGTTCCAGATCCCGGGTTGAAACACATAGAGGGAGCGTCATTCGCTGGATTTTATTATATCGGATTACAGAAATCTATTGGACACGTTCTAGGTTATTACTATCATCTTAACTCAGAAATGTATGAATTTATTTTAATTATTTTATCTTTACTTTAGGTTTCAATCTCTCGAACTGAAATATAAACCAGAAAGCACACCGTCTATTTTTCAGTTGCGTTAAGGATGTTCATTATTACGTATTGGCTTGTGAGATAGATGTGTTTCAACTGATTTATCGCTCGATTTTTATTTATTTGCTAGACAGGATGTGGCATTTCATTTTCATGATATCTACAAATGTATTTAAATAGCAGTTTATGGCAAATACACTTCAATTTACATCGTCATGCAGTCCTTAATCACTATATTTATACTAATATCTCTGAAATGTACAGCTTTTAGTATTCATTGAAAAATTCACTGAGTCACTTGAAAAATATAGTTCTATTTGATACTTATTGTTCTACTAATCAATAATGGGAATTAATAGCCGTGTGATTGATCGTACGAAATTATTCAAACTAACTTTTTTAAACATGAAGCTTTACAAATGCACCTCCCCATCAATTTGTTTCAGAAATCATCTTATGTCATCCACAGAAAGTATCGACTGCATGGAAACTTAAAAAGTAACCCAATATAAGGTCCTTCAATTAAAGAAGAATAAATGGAAGTAACCCGTACAGTGAAACTTCCTCTACAACATCAGTCGTGTGTAACGTGGGAAAGATGAATTCTGAGACATTTAACTCATGGATCCTATTAAATTATTGTTTGTAGTTGAAAGGCTTCAGGTCTCTTAGTTATTTCAGATAATAAACATGATAATTAGGAATATGAACTGATAATTTTAGAGTGCAAGTCTATACATCTGACAGTTGAGTCATTCCAATTATGTTGGTTGCCTTCGCACATACTCTGAAGATATGTGATTAGTCGTACTGATTCTGTTCATTCCCGTAGGTGGATTACTATTTGTTGTAATACAATTCGTCTATGAATACTCCTGTTTTCGCTGTGCCGTGTATGTGATTGTTGCGCAATTCTAATCCATTGCTAAAAAGTTTATCTTATTTTCAAGCACCTCGATTGTAGAGAAATAGTTCATCCTGGAGAAGCTGGGAAAGATACATAAGTAGGAATGGTATCTAATAATTATTTAGATCGAAGAGTCAGTAAAAACTAGTGCCATCCACTAAATTGGTAGGTGATCGAAGGCTCATTCCGTCAGGCTTGGAGGACGATAAAGGACGGAAACAACTCAAAGGTGAACTGACAAGTTTACTTAGTGGTCGTGAGGAGTGATGGACAACGAAAGCAAAAGAGATAGGAAAGGTGGTAGCGTTAGGTGACACCGAACAGCCATTCCGACTCATCAAGAAAACACGTATTGAGAATGTTGGTGTTAGCGAGACTATTTCGGAGAAAGACGGGACGGATTATTTGCTCTTGATTTGGGAGACTAGGCGGACAAATAGAACACTAAGGAACTGTTCGACTGGCCTCCAATTACCATCCGGCTAGTCACTATCTCCAAATAACCTGAATTGCAGTGATATAAGGTTGCAGGTAATCTGTGATGACGGTAAGCAGCAGGTCCTAGTGGCTTGTTTCCAGAGATCTGTAAGGCTAGTGGTCCAGTTTTAGCGGCCAAGTTGGTTGAGATGTTATAACATGAGCATGCTTACCAACTACTGACTGTGGTTTCTTAAGTCGCATTCAACTCGGCTGATCGTGAGTTTCTGTAACAATGGTTCTCACTGAAAAACGTACCCAGAAAGTATATAAATATTGTAAAGGCTCCCTACTCGAACACTATTGATCGAGTTAGCGTTTATGGCGACCTGTAAACCTCAAATGGTGTTTCCCACTGTCTCCATTTTTACTTAGCATTTTCATTTGTACCCCCCTGGAAATTACTTCTGAGCTAAATCTTCACGAGTTGGTTTCCCACCGGGAAGTTCATTTATCGCTGCAGAATACGCAAATGACATAGTCCTATGTGGGAAAGACGCTGACAAAACTTAGAATCATTTCATCAACTTCAGCAACAATTTGAGCATGTTTGCGATGCGTTGGCCACTTCACTTTGGAGTGTAACTAACCCTCGTGTTCAACGAATTCCCAGCATACATTCAGAAAGCTGTTGGCCTTCGCCAACTCTTGTCGCCTGTAGCACATACTAAATCTGTCTGTGAACGAAAGGAAGTATATACTATGCAGCGGTCCTCTTTGTTCTACTTTCCGACTATGAAACATGGCCTATGAGAGCAGAGGACACACGTAGGCTGAGTCTTTGATCATGAGTGTCTTCGAAGCATTGTTCGCGTATCGTGGGACAACCGAGTGAGCAAATTCGAAGTTAAGCGAAAGTGAGAAACCAGTTGATGAAGGATTAAACCTCATCAACTGAGGCATTTAAAACATGTTTTACGTATACCTAACCACCACCCACCTCGACGAGCTTGCTTGTGTAGAAGTAGGTTTCAGGGAAGCTATGGGTGGCCAGACCAAGACATGGCATTAATCCATATAGTCACTGACTGTTGCTCCAACCCATGTTGATAGAATCCAACTATCTGGTCGGGGTTCGCGTGATAACCGTGATCAAGTTTGGGTAACACAGCTTGAAATTGTCCACAGTGGTTCAGATGCACTTATTCTTTATCTTCTCGAGGCGTTAAGATATATTGGTAGGATATCAAATAGGTATGCAAGCAAGCCAAACTACCATACAGTGCTAGGGAAATACTCATCTCATCACGGCACAGTAAAACTGTGTCAACGAATTACCTTGACATGCAAAGAACACAATCGACCGCCTTTCCCTTTATATATTCTCAGTAACCGCTAGACTAAAGCAAAGAAACCTTAACGATAGTCTACCATCTTAATACAGAGTCAAGTAACGTTTTTGTGTGCATCTTACTCGACCAACCTGAACTGTCTATAGAACTATTAGGTCGATGTTGCAAAAACAAGCTTCACAACGCTGTGAAACACAAATTTCCAAAAGTCTCAGTTCCGAACTAAATTTATTGCAAATTAGTGAGCAAGACGTCTTGCCCGTATTCGCTTATCGCGCTCTTCAATAATGGACAACCTGATGCCCCTGTTTTTCGGTAGAGAAATCCATGGTTTGTTTGACTTTCCAATGATGAAAATATTGTTTAGGCGAGTGACGAACTGGTGCCCTGTGCTGTCGCGCACGTGAACCATTTCAACAGAACCAGGATGGCGTTCCCATTGGGTAATAGTTCCAACTCGTCCCAAGTTACGTCCACCTGTCACCATACACATATTGCCTACAAAAACAATAAGCTTGAAATGTTTTTACCTGGTTCAAATTTAATATGGTTTAGAACCTTGCCCGTAGCGATGTCCACCTGGATCGTATCATTTGGCTTGATATTTGGATCTGGGTATCGAATCGTCCTGGCGTCATGTGTTACAATGTAAGGTACTCCTCCACGGCCGACAAGAACCTTCCTTACTTTACAAAGCTTATACTTAGCCTCGTCAGGATGGATGCGCTGGATGGCAAACCTGCCTTTGGTGTCGTAAATAAGACGGAAGTGCTCGTTTGTTTTCTCTATGGTGATAACATCCATGAATCCCGCAGGGTACTTCTTGTCAGTGCGCACTCTTCCGTCAACTTTAACCAGACGTTGAGCCAATATCTTTGTGCATTCTGTATAAGTGAGCGCATACTTAAGACGATTTCGCAAGAATATGCTGAGTGGTAGACATTCTCTCAATTTGTGAGGACCTGTGCTGGGTCTTGGGGCAAAATTACCCCCCAGCTTATCCAACATCCAGTGTTTTGGAGCATTCAACCTTTTCAAATGTTTTTTATTACCTCGAACCTATTAAAATCATTAAAAATAATCATGAAAGGTGTAACTTACACCCATGTTGCTTCGACCTGCTAGAAACCAACTCTAGTGCGCGTGGAAACAAAGTGGCGGGTCGGATGTACAATGTTTCAACAGTTTAACGAATGAACAAACCTCAATGTTCAGTTGAACATCAGAAGTATTACAGATGATGAAGTTTGGCTTAATGCTCAGGCTTTTTCGTAATAAGAACGGGTTATTCAACAACGTTTGTCATGTCAAACTTATCAGATTGTAATGCGGATAATATTGCGCCTATAATATGTAATCCAAAGCTTTATAGATAATAGGAGTCAAAATTTGATTAAAAACCACCAAATTCAGTGTCAGTGATTTGACGGAAAAATGAGTTTTGAATAAATCGTTTTCGAGTGCATATATGTATCTCGCATGTCTATTTTGTACCGGCATTGATATCTCTAATTAAAGTATTTGTTGAAAATTAGTACCATGAAGGGACACAAATAATCAAGTAATCTAACGTTTGGTGGTTGCGGTATGTTAAACAACCAATTGTCTTTCATGTATCTAGCGTAACTATACGAACACAAAGAAAAATTCACCAATCTTATTGTGTGTTTCTTGTCTGATTCTATAGTAGGTCAGATGGCAAGTTTAATGGCTCACTTCTTTTATGTTCACGTGTATAGACAACTCAAAATAACTGTGTTCTATAAATGACGATCTTAAATATCGTGCAAATGTCGACTTTACAATAATCAAGCTATTAATAGACTTTTCAGTGTTAGTTGGGTATTGTTTTAAGCAGATAATTGCTCAGAATTCTAAAGTAAATCTGTCCAACAAAGAAGACCTTGGTCTGAGTTTCACTAGGTCGAAAACCAAAAACGATTTTCAAAAGAACTAATGTAGCGAATTCAGCGCTTTGTCATTCGTACGAAATTTTTCGCAACAGCCTTTGGCTGATAGATAAAAGGGAGATTATAGCAACTATCTTACAACCAATTTCAATTATGATTAATTTTGGTTAGGCGTTTTTATTAACTTTCTTAACAATGTTATTTGAATAGTAACAATTCCCACATTCCTCTGTACCATTATGATTACCAAATTATATGACAGACTCTAGCCAAAATGTCGATTGCTTAAACACTACCCGGTGACTCATCCTCATCCCCATGTACGTGCTCAAATCCTATTATCAGTCCTAGCTTTGCCTTGCTGTGCCTTTATGCGGTTTGGCTATAAATTTGCCTGTGTAATTGCTCGCATATATTTATTCGCCTCTCCGTTTCAAATTCGCTCAACGTGCTTATAGCTTTGT